CTGTAAGGATAATTTGTGTCCATTTTTAATCTTAAACAGTATCAAGACATTCTTCTAAAAGTCTTCTTATGTTTCTGTTATTCAAGTAATAAGAGTTAAAATAAGTTATCCTCAGAGTTCATATTGCTTGGATTAAGCTCTGTAACCTTTAAAGTACTTTTAATCTGTTGCCTTTATACATATGCATTTTACCTTTTAGCAAATTAAGACCTTTTTGTAAGATAGACTGGAAATTAAATGTGTTTCTTCTTAGTACTTAAATACCTTTTCTCAAAACAAAACAAAAAACTCAAAATGCTTCAGTAATTCACAAATATGGTAAAGAGAATTTACTCGTAGAACTGTCTGGAATTCCCGCACTTGCCCTACTCCCAAGTAGGCTAAATTTAATATTTAGAATCGCAAATAATATTAAACAAGAAGGTAATGGTAGGTTTTTCTGTTTGTTTAATATTAAACATTCTTATTGCTTCTACAGGTATGGGCACAGCATGGTAGATAGAGGTATTCCTTCCATTTTTATAAAATGTCATGCCAATTTGTCTCTTTTAAAATTACAGTCTTAATTTTTTAAAATATATGTTGTTCAAAAATCTGTGGTCAGGTTGGTAATAGGAAATATAGTCTTTTCTTCTTTTTTCTTCTTTTGGGAAACATAGTCTTATTTTGTTCCAAGCACTGTGTAAGGAATTCAGTAATGTAGGATTATAATCCCATAATCATTGTTCTGAAATCCACAAAGCTCTAAAAACCACATATATTTTAATACATTTGCTGTTAAATCTACTTTGCTGGTAAAGCCTACACTGCAGTGACATAGGGCTATGTATAGTCTTTAACTCATTTGGTGTGAATACTCATACATTTTGCTGCAGAAATATTGTGTGAGATTATGGGGTACTCACCCAGGACTCAATGGTGGTATTAAGTTAAACGATGGGCATATCTTTTCTATTTTTTAAAGTTCAGGCACACACAGGGACCCAAGGATTTTGGAAAAGGAGGTGTGTACCCAGACTTTATCATCAAGTCAACCTTTTAAAGTGGATGCTATTATCACCCCCATTTTTAAAAATAAAGATTAATTGCTCAAGGTCATATGGCAAGTAAGTGGCAAAGCTGGGATTCCAATTTGTGCAGTTTGGCTCCAGAGTCCATGTTTTGAATTATTAACTATATGGTGCTACTTTTCCTACTGCTTTTCTGTAAAATCATAAGCATATAGATCAGTTATAGCAAAAATTTATTCATTAAAAATGTCAACACCTTTTAATTGTGGTCTAACAGTTGGATATATCAGAGAACCAGTATACTATATTCTGCTGATATTGTTATCAATTTACTCATTGTAATTTGTTGGATTTGTCTCAATTTTTTTAAGCAATGCATTCTTCCATCTCTCTCTTTTTCTTCTTGCAATTTCGATGGAGTTTCTTATTTGTAGAAAAATCTAGGTCATTTGTCCTGTAGAGTTTCCCTCCATCTGGATGTTGATTTCTTACCTTTTGTTAGTGTGTTCTGCCTCCTGTGTTTAAATCTAAAGGCAATTATTTTTCAACAAAAATACTTCATTAGGTGGAAGTATATTCTTCCAGCAGGAGACAGATAATGTCCCATGGTTTTTCAGTTGTGATAAATAAATCATTGATGATCACTTCTTAAATCTATTAGTTCACAGAGCTTGTGGAGTGGTATTGTCATTTCTTTTTCATTTAGTAGTTGGAATGTTTCGAAAAAAAAATTTACTTCAGTTATTTTGTTACTTGCATCATAATTCATATAGGAAAGACAGTATAAATATTCCTGATTCTTTCCCTTTGTTTACCAGTTTTCAGAATAAGAGGTGGTTTCCTTCTATCATTAAAAATGAACGGTGATACCTTTTTGGCTTGCATGTTTGGTTGACTGGTTGTGTCTGATGTAATTATTTAAATTTATCTGTCCTTCATCCAATTAGTTACCTTTATTTATGCTTTATCCTATCTTTGACTGGTAGGAAGGTTTTCAAGGTGGCTCCTGAGTCCTTTTGATATGACCCTAATAGCCTTTTGATTGCTTTGCTGCTTCCTGGTGTAAGATATTGCAGGCTTATCTTGTACATTTCCTGCTCCAGACCCAAGATCATCCATTGTTCTACAGAGTCAGTGTTTCTTTTAATGGGAAATGGTTTATAAAGATCACAGTGTGAGCGCAAGGGGGTGCTTCTTTCTACTGGGTAGCTTGTCTCTAGGCCTTTCCAATGGAGCATGTAGGAGAGATGTGTTTTTAAAGATTAACCATACTGTTAATCATACTGAGGCCTCTAAATGAAATTCAGAACTACAGGATGTTCATACAGCCTGATTAAGCTTTCATATCTCTATCTCATGTCAAAAATTTCAGCTTCAAAGGTACCATCATAATTACTTCAACTTGGTGTATCCCACAATACCAATATTGCCACCAACAATTTGGTTACAGAATGCAGTCTACAAGAGTTTTTTTGTACTTTAGTCCTGAGACTACATCCCACTAAGTATATACAAATTAAGTTTTAAAGTCACTTGGGATAGCTCCTCCGGGTATATGCCACAATTGGAAAACATTTAGGTTCATTTAGTTTCATTTTACTTTCAAGGATTGCTTTTTAAAAATAGAATTTTGCTTTATAATGTAACATATTTACATGGCTCCAAAGTCATGTCTTCAGGCCAGGCATGGTGGCTCGTGCCTGTAATCTAAGCAGTTTGGGAGGCCGAGGTGGGTGGATCACTTGAGGTCAGGAGTTCGAGACCAGCCTGGCCAATACGGTGAAACTCCATCTCTACTAAAAATACAAATATTCCTCAGGCATGATGGCACATGCCTGTAATCACGGTTATTCAGGAGTCTAAGGCAGGAGAATTGCTTGAACCCTGGAGACGGAGGTTGCAGTGAGCCAAGATTGCACCATTGTACTCCAGCCTGGGCAAAAGAATGAGACTCTCTCTGTCTGACACACACAAATAAACAAAAACCAAAAAACAAAGTTATGTCTTCGTTGTTCCTTATACCCCTCCTCTTCCCTCCTTGCCCATATAGTCATTTTAAATGTTAATCTACTTGTAAAATAATAATTAGTAAACATATATGTGTATACACATGTATACATACATTTTCCTCTTATAAAAATGGTATTTACATATTACATATTCTTTTCCCACTCAATATCCTGTAGTGTATAGAGATATTTCTCAATTCCTTTTTATGCATGCATAGTTTTACACTATGGATAAACCATAGTTTATTCAACCAACCTTCTATCAGTAGCCATTTAAATTTTATGTCAACTCAAAGAAAATTTAAATTCTAACATTGATATTTTGGAGAGAAATTCTATTTGAGAATGGCTGTTGCAGTAAGAGAGACTCAATCTCATGTTCAAGTCTGTCATATCTGGTTTCCTGTAAGTCTGAATGACCACTCAATATGTAGCTGTTTAAAATAGCACCATGTAGCTAGGCGTGGTGACTCACACCTGTAATCCCAGCACTTTAGGAGACTGAGACTGGAAAATCACTTGAGGCCAGGAGTTGGAAGTAAGTGCTAAGAACACAGCAAGAACCTGTTTCTACAAATAATAATAATAAAATAGTACTATGCACACGTCATACTAATTTGAACCTTTTTGTATGTGATAAAAACAGGATGGTAGCAAGCAGGCTGAGGCAGCTTTTTTTTTTTTTTTTAGACAGGGTCTCACTGTGGCCCAGGCTAGAGTGCAGTGTCTCAATCATGGCTCACTGCAGCCTCAACCTCAGTGGGCTCAAACGATCCTCCTGGGTAGCTGGAACTACTGGCATGAGCCACAGTGCCTGGCTTGAGGAAGTATTTTAAAAAATTACTGTCCTTATTAGTGTGGGATGGGTGAAGTATGCAAAGTATAAAATAATAGAGCAGTAATTCTGTTATAGGAAAGGGGTCCCGATCCAGACCCCAAGAGAGGGTTCTTGGATCTCGAGCAAGAAAGAATTCAGGGCAAAATGAAAGCAAGTTTATTAAGAAAGTATAGGAATAAAAGAATGGCTACTCCATAGACAAAGCAGCCCTGAGGGCTGCTGGTTGCCGATTTTTATGGTTATTGCTTGATGATACGCTAAATGGGTGGATTATTGATGCCTCCCCTTTTAAGACCATATAGGGTAACTTCCTGACACTGCCATGGCATTCGTAAACTGTCATGGCGCTGATGGGAGTGTAGTAGTGAGGACTACCAGAGGTCTCTTTCATGGCCATCTTGGTTTCGGTGGGATTTAGCCGGCTTCTTTACTGCAATCTGTTTTATCAACAAGGTTTTTATGACCTGTATCTTGTGCTGACCTCCTATCTCATCCTGTGACTTAGAATGCCTTAACAGTCTGGGAATGCAGCCCAGTAGGTTTCAACCTCATTTTACTCAGCTCCTATTTAAGATGGTGTTGCTCTGGTTCACATACCTCTGACAGTTCCCTTAGAGGCAAAATCTTTTTAATAAAAAGAATAAATAAATACTGTAAAGTGCTTTAGAATAATGTTTGGCACATGTTAACCACCACATATGTTTTTGCTGTTATTATCTGAAAAAAAATCCAGATAAGATTCCTAATTTAGCAAGTCACTAATGGAACTTGTAATAATTCTTAAACAACATTACTTTAAAAAATTACGTAAAAAGCATGTAAGCCTTTGGAAACAAACTTGTTTCCTTATGATATTACTTAACTTCTGGTGACTTGATGCATTTGAGCATGTTTATTTTGAAGGCATCACCTTCATATAATCAGTTCAACTTTAGTCATTAATGATCAACTCTACTGTGCTGCAGATGGAATAGTAGGCCTGGGGGAGTTTAGAGGAAAAGACAATGGGGGAATGGGAGTTCAAATAATTATAAATAACCAGTAATAAAGTAAATTAACAAAACCATAAAAATTAAACTCCACAGAGTAGTACTTGAACTTGATGCGTTTACAGATAGGTAAAACTATACTGCTTTTAAAATGTGTGTTGGCTCCAAAGTATCCTCACCATCACAAAGTGTATTCGGTGAACAATGTTCAGTCCTGAAATTTGGAAGTTAGGGGGGCAATTTCTGCCTGAAATAAGACAAAAGTAAAAATCCGCCACAGTGCAAGCAGAAGAGTCAGGTTTTCTACCCACCAGGCCCTAATATCCTCTGAGCGCTTTAACGCTCTCGCTCAAGAAGGCGCAGGCTGCTGCGATGGACATGGGCGTCCGGCTCCGGCACGTGCCGCGGGTCTTTCCGGCCCTGGTGAGGGAGCTGGCGGACTCGCGCCAACCTTCGCGGAAGAGCGCCACGAAAGGCAGATGGTTCCCTCACTTTGAGCACCTCCCTGCCGCGCTCTCCGGGTCCAGGCCGCTAGCCGGATTGAAGCCGCTCCGCGCGTCGGACCCCGTGCCCTGGCCCTCCCGGGTGTCGTCCGGTCCTGCCTCTGCGGGGCCCGAGCCCGCCCACGGCGCCGGCTGGCCAAGGTGTCCCAGCTGCTCCTTGGCGCCCCCTGGCCCAGCTCCGGCGCCCGAGGTTTCCGGTGAGCGGCAGTAGCCGGTTATGACGACTCCCTCCTCTGCAACAGCCGCAGTCTCCTCCGCCTCCTCCTCGATAGTCACGGCTGCAGCGGCTCCAGGTGGGACTCGCCCGCAGTCTGCGGAGCCTTCCCCCACTCTCCTTCCCGCCGCGGCCGCGCTCTGCGCCGCTCCTGCCCCGGGTGGTTCCAGCTCCCGGCGCGGCTTCCCGGAGGGCTATAGCCTGCGCACGTACTCCGCCCGCGCCTTCCCATTCCCTGCGGGCTGGGAGGCGGGCGTCGGAAGCCGATCCTGGCCCTCCCCTGCCCCGGGCGCACTGCCCCTTCCCTGCGTCCGGAGCGCAGGCGGGCCCCGGGCCCTAGCCGCGTTGACCAGGTTTCCAGCCGGGGCGGAGCCGCTCCCCGGGGCCCCTCCCAGGCGCGCTGGGGACCCGGGGCGCCGCGGTGCAGGGTGGCCGGCGGCCCCGGGAGATCTCCACCCCCAAAGCAGCCCCTGGCAGCACCCACGGTCCAGAACCCCAGCGCGTCGTCTCAGCCGCGGCGGGGCGCTCGCCGCTGACCCCTCAGCCCTGGGCCGGGACTGACGTTCAAGCGGACAGCTGGGCTCTCGGGCAGCCGAGCACTTCCTGAGCCCTGCCTGGCACCCGCCGAGAGACTTTTTGGCTCAAGTGGGGGCCAGCCGTTGAGGAGTCATTCGGAGTCTCACGTCTTGAACTTTGCATTTGCCCACTGCCTTCTTTAAACTTTTCCAAGCTTTGTCTCTCTGCAACATTGCCCCATTTCGCCCACTGTGTCAGCCCCAGGTTTTGCCTCCTATCCATCATCTTTCAGATGTTTCCCTTTTTTCCTCCCTCATTAGGCCTGTGGAAATCAAATCAAGGGTTTCTGGAGTGGAGTGAGTCCAGCTGCTTTGAGCTGAAGGAAAAGTAGCCTGGCCACCAAAGCGTCCCTGTGCTGGAGGAGTGCAGCCACCCATCCCCGCGGGCCTTGCAGGAGGACTGACACCAGGAAGGCTTTGTGCCAGGCCCGGCAGCCACCCCCACCCGCCTTATGCAGGTGGGTACATGCCGTCGCCAGAAGCCAGCTTTCTGATCTGCGTCTTTAGATTTTTTCCATCGCCTGAGCGTTACTTCTCAACTGATCGGTGAGTTTAGTGATGGCCAGAGCTCACTGGAGGACAATGGACTTGGATAACAAGGGTCAGGGCTTGGTCATAACAATGACTTTATTACCGGGAAGGACAATTCAAAAAATAGGAAGGCCTGGGAACCCTCAGGCATGCCACTCTAGGTGGGTAGCACTGTGATTCAGCCAACGGGGATTACTGCTGTGAGAATGGGACAGTTGTTTGCTCCTGAGAATGTTTGATCCATTAACTATCCTGTTGGCCAGTTCCAGTGGATGCCTGTAGAAAGTGGGCCACCTCCTCCTGTTCCCCATTGGAATCTGGTCAGAGTTGCTGTGTTGGGGGTGGTGCCTGTGAACTCGGTTAGCAGTGTGGTATTCATTAAGGAAAAGAAAGCGCACCACCGGCCCGGCCCTCTGGCTGAGGGTTATCCCGTTACATTATTTTCTTTCTTAATATTTCCTTTAATTCACAACATCACCTGAATGATCAAGTTTACTTTAGCATCCTTTTAAGGTAATATGTTTCATTTCTGACAGGTTTTAGAGACCTGAAACATCACAGAAGCTTCTGAGTGGTTCTGAGGATTCAAGAGGTAAGTATTTTTAAGTAGAGTCATTGTTACTATGAATATGTGTTTTTAAATTTTTATAACACTACTGTCAACTCATTCTTGGGTAAAAGCCCCAAGTGAAAATATTATTATAATTCAGATCAGATTTACAGCAGATAACACCATACTCTTGAGGGTTGCCAAAGTGAAAATCTGTAGTACTTAACTACTCCAGGGGGGAAAAATGGGGGAAAATGGATTTCTTCTGGGTGTCCCCACTGTTCACTTAGAATTCCATGGCCTTGGAACTTGAGGTTTGATGGAACATAGCAGTCAATTTCCATTTTTCTTTCTTTCTTTCTTTTTTTTTTTTTGAGACAGGGTCTCCCTGGCATTGCCCAGGCTGGAGTGCAGTGGCGAGATCACTACTCACTGCAGCCTTGACTTCCCAGGCTAAAGCGATCCTCTCGCTTCAGCTGGGACTACAGCTGATTTTTTGTATTCTTAGCAGAGACCGGGTTTCACCATGTTGCCCAGGCTGATCTCAAACTCAGGGAGTCAAGCAGCTTATCTGCCATTCTCGGCCTCTCAAAGTGCTGCTATTTCAGGGATGAGCCACCGCATTGGGCCTGCAGTCTGTTTCTAAAGGCTCCATCTTCACAGCCCATAATCAATGAAGACTAATTTCAAAACATGGGTTTTCCGGCATGACCCAGGAAACAGCAGTCCTAGCTGATGAACATCCAATGTATATTAAGACTCTGTCATCCAGTGGAAAGACCACTTAAACAAAACAAAACAAAAAATAGAACAAAGAGCCCACTAAAGTGACCTGAGAATGGCAGGATCATTGTCTGGGATATATAGGAGAAATCTGGTCTAAGAGATTTAACACTTACTGGGTGAGTTAGAAGTGCAGTGAGGTTTGTGACCATTGTCAGTGTTCACAATGTAGAGGCGTGAAGGGAGAGTTTAAGGGCGCAGTCATTGACGCAGACTGCTTAATATCACTCCTGGAGTTTCTAAGTCTTAGCTATTATCATAGCTGATTATTATACCTACTAGCATGTAAGCTTCATAAGGGCAATGAGTTTAGTTCATGACTGCACCTTCTTTGCTGTATCCTGGGTTCAGAAGAGCTCCTGGAACATTGTTCTCACACCTTGCTTGTGATTATAATTTTTTATTCAGCAGACACACACTTGTTTGGAGCCATCCCACTCCCTTTGCTCTCTCACCGATGCTTTTTCCCCTACTCATCATTCAGATCTCAGCTCCAATATTATTTGGGCCCCTTTTCTGCCCCACATGGCTTTAAACAGTTACTTAATAAACACTTCCATAGCATTTAGTGCGTGCCAGATAGTTTTCTAAACACTTTACCAATAATTAACTCATTTAACTCACGACAGCTCTACAATGAAGGTTTATTATTATTTCCATTTTACAGATGAGGAATGCTTAGGTGCAGAAAGGTTAAGTAACTTGTTCAAGTCTTAACAGCTGGGAAGCTGCAGATTTGCGATTCAAATCCAGGTGGTTAAGCTTTAAAGGTTCAGGTTCTTAACCACCATGCTACGTTGTCTATCATATTGCTTTATTTTATTTCAGGTATCACTAAACTGGATCCTATCAAGCCCTTCCATAATTTTTTTAAGTTATAAAGTTTTATTGGAACACAGCCTCATCCTTTCTTTTATAATAGACCATGGCTACTTTCTGGACAGAGGCATTGTGTAGTTGTCACAGAGATCTTATGTCTGGCAAAGCCAAAAATATTTACTGCTTCTCCTTTACAGGAAAAGTTTGCTGGCCCCTAGTTGGTTTGAGTCACAGGCCCAGTCATCCGCTGAAGTTGTTTATTTATTTGATTGCTTGTTTACGACAGTCGTACTAGGTTTAAAGGCACCATGAGAGCCAGGCTCTTTCTTGTTTTGTTCACCTCTGTATACCCATTTGCTAATGTGGTGCCTGGCACCAAGCAAGTGCTAAAAGAAAATTTAACAAAGGAACATTACACAGTGGGATAGCAAAGTGCTTTGTAATTATACTTAGCTCTTGACCCTTTGTTGTTGTTGTTGTTGTTGTTGTTTTGGCTTTTAAAGGAAATTTGTTAACAAAGATGTCTTCAGTTTGATCTCTAGGTTTGTGGGTTGCTATGTTAATGTTGTTTGTCTTTGGAGTCTTACTTCATGAAGTCCCACTGAGTGATCAGAATGAAGCTCCTCCTAACACTCACAGCATTCCAGGCGAACCTCTGTATAACTATGCCAGTATCCGCTTGCCGGAGGAGCACATTCCCTTCTTTTTGCACAACAATAGGCATATTGCCACTGTCTGTAAGAAAGACTCTCTTTGTCCATATAAGGTAGGTATTATTTCTTCTTTCCTTATTTTTATGAGGATGCAATTTTGGCTGGCTTACTGGTTCTGCTTTATAACCTGAAGCTGAAGGTATAATTCTAATTTTTGGTTGTCACTGTATAAGTTAATCATTGTTTCAGTTTCATATAATACTTCTAAGTGACTAAACTGCTTAAAATTATGTCCCATTTGTAAGAGAGAAATTTAAAATCGAAATCACTTCTAAAACAAGTTTACTATTTGTAAACTCTGTAAAGAAGCAATTAGATTTTATGCAGGAAAGAACATCTTGTTTAAAGTAACTAAAGAATTTCACACCTCTTCTTTCTTAAATGGCACATAAGAGGATCGCTTAGCACTTAATTTCAGTAATGACACCTCAGCCTCTGACTCCACATAATTAAGCCTGTTACTGTGGCTTTCTTTCTGTTTTAGAGGAGTTGGAAAGGTCTCAAATAGGAGCCCATTAAGACATCTCACAGGGCCTCAGAGATCAAAGCTGGGCATTGTGAGACACTTCCTTTCCCATGGTGCTGGCACAGGAAGCATATGGAAAAGCAGACTTGGGAACCAGACCAGCATCGCTCCTGGGGCCGTGCAGAAATGCATTCTGAGCTCCTTGTCCAGCAGCAGCTGGGCGGTTCCCAAGGGTGGCAGAGTTGTCCATGTGTTGTGGGGTCTCTGCTGATCTCGATTGCTGAGTAAAGTTGCTGATTCATTCACTTTAGCTGTGATTCCTTTGGTAGCACAAATTCCAGTTTATATGTCTTTTAGGGACTGATTTTAGAATCTGCTTGCTCACTGAGAAAGGCAGTTTCTTAAGCTACTTCAAGAAATTCAAATTCAAGTGGTCTTTGAGCATCTAGGTAAAGCCCAGACTTTTGGTTAGGGGACAGATATGGTGGGGGTGATAAGGAAGGAGGATTGTTAAGAACCTTGAGACTGCTCTTTTTAGAATTAACTGTAAGTTTTAAATTTATTATGATAAGATGACATATTATAAAAGGTAAATATGAATGCTCTATAATGATTTGTTTTCTTAATGGAAAAATGTAAGAGTCTTCTCTAAATGTCAGAAGAAGGGAAATCAATGTAAGTTTTATGTTCTAGAAACACCTAGAAAAGCTAAAGTACTGCTGGGGTTATGAGAAATCCTGTAAACCAGAGTTCAGGTTTGGTTACCCAGTTTGCAGCTATGTCGACATGGGATGGTAAGTTTCCTTATGGAATACCCTCTTCAAGTCTTCTTCTTTCTATACAGTGTATGTTGATGCCCTAATTTCTAGCTGGATTCTTTTGGTTTTAGATAGTAATTCAGTTAGATATTAATTTGCTTACACAGTCATGAATTCAACTTGACTATTGCACACTGGGATAGGAATATCTGTCATTTCCTCTGCCAGAGGGAGAAACAGCCGGGACCATAGATGATGTTTTCCCCCAGTGTATACTAAAAAGATAAATGGATGGTTTCCTCTTGATTCTTCCTGGGAGAATTAAGTGTAATTAGTACTTCTAATACATGCAGTGTTAATGTGGTAAAGAAAACATAGTAATTAAGAATGCGTCATTGTCTTCAGTTTCAGGGGATAACTTCATACATGTCTGTTACATATTTTTATGATAAGGGAATAATTCTGTAAATAACTTAGTTTGGTAATTTCATATAGTGAGGCATAGTTTTGGAAAAACTATGATGATAGTATACTGTAACAAAATTAAAGTAATAAGGAACCTTTAGCATTTTAACCTTTAGAATAAAAATTCAAGGTCCAAAAAAAGTAAAAAGAAAAAAACCACAGAATATTTTTGTTTGCAAATAGGACGGACACTCTTGAGTCAGCTGAGGACATATTCTGGAAACAGGCTGACTTTGGATATGCCAGAGAGAGGCTGGAGGAGATGCATGTGCTCTGTCAGCCTAAGGAAACGGTGGGTATTTCGCTCCTTACTAAATAAGCTTGTTTATTTAATTTTAATTTTATTTATTTTTGAGACGGAGTCTCTCTCTGTTGCCCAGGCTGGAGTGCAGTGGCACAATCCTGGCTCACTGCAACCTCTGCCTCCCGAGTTCAAGGGATTCTCCTGCTTCAGCCTCCCGAGTACCTGGGATTACAGGCGTGTGCCACCCCTCCCAGCTGATTTTTGTATTTTTAGTAAAGACAGGGTTTTGCCATGTTGCCAGGCTGATCTCGAACTCCTGACCTCAACGGATCCGCCCACCTCAGCCTCCCAAAGTGCTGGGATTACAGGCGTGAGCCACTGTGTCCAACCAAGCTGTTTTATTTTTATTATTTATTGATTATTGATTTTTAATATTTATCATTTAGGTTGTAATGTAAAAATAAGATAGACGGCACTATGAAAGGAATTCCTCACTCTCACTTAGTTATTGGCTTAGAATTTTATGTAACTTTCCTAAATAGGTTGTTCTCTTTCCTTTGGAAACCCTGTCCTCCTTATCCCACGTTTATCAGATAGTCATATTTTAAGACAGTTGAAATATTTTTAGGTTTAGAATCTTTCCCCCAAACATATGCTAAAGAAGAGAAGTTGATAAATTGCATCTTTACAAATTTATTCTCAGATAGTTTGGGACAGATGATATAATACCACCATACCGCTCTATGTTTGCCCAGAGCTTTACAGTTTGCAGAAAGCTTTTATGTATGTTATCTGGTTTGATGCTCATAAGCGTTATAGCAGATACTACTGATGCCACTTTATCAGTGTGCAAAACAGGATCCTCAGAGGAGTTAAGCAACTTCTCCAAGACTGCACAGCTGCCCTTTAGAATTAATTATACATCTAGGATTAAAATGCAGGTTTTTTCCAGTTTACTTTCAACCATACCATATTGTACCTCAGTGGATCAGATAAACACGTTGTCCAGAGGTGGTTTGGGGTAGTAAATACAAGAGCAGGCTCTCAACTACAACTCAGATCCTGAGTCTTGGACAAGGTACTTAGGCTTTCCTTGTTTCAATTTCCTCTGCCTTAAAGCCATGCCCATTACGTAGTATATGGTAAGGAAGAAATGAGGTTCTGCAGATAAAAATGCTCAGTGCAGCAGGGCCTGATTCCCAGCAAAGGGCTCAGCATTATTTTTTAAAGGTTGGTGAAGTTGTAAGCACTTACGATTAAGGTACACTATTCTTTAACTCAATGATCCTGAACCCTGAGTCTCTAACATCTCAGGGGTCTCCAATCTCCAACCACACTGGGGACCTAAAAAATTTTTTAATTTACTCACATTCAAAAACTGATTATATGCTTTATAGAGCTATTGGGGGGTGTCACGTCATAGAGCTTTGAGCATTCTAGCAAGGAGAATGAGGCCTGAGGATGTGAGGCATGCCATTAAACTGCACGGCTGCAGGGTATCTTTAACAGAGTTCTGTTCTGTCTTGCACACTTGGCTCAAGTCTAGCTGTTCACGTGGAAAAGGCAAGAGAAGAATGACAACCCCTATCTTGCACGCCTCTTTCAAGATGGCTTGTAGAATGTTCTTTTGGCTAAGATTTACCTTGATTTGCTTTGTGCTAGCAGAGTATGATCCTTGTCTTAGTTGTTTGGGCTGTTATAACAAAATACCATAGACTGGGTGGCTTCTAAACAATATCATCACATTGGGGGTTAGAATTTCAACATATGAATTTGGCAGAGACACAAACATTGAGTCCATTGCAATCTTTTACCAACTACAGACTCCAAAACGCCATGCAGGTCAAGATTAAGGCTTTGTGTTCATTGGGAGTTATGGGAAAAACAATGAAAATGACATTTAAATCGATAAATAAAACCCAGAGCAGATAAAAGTTTTTGAAGCTCTCAGCACAACCCAGATTGGTTGAAATAGAATCAGACTCTGGTAGCTGACTCTTCAATTCCTTTCTTCAATTATTTAGAAAATATTGCCCTCATGTTGCTGTTGAGATAGAGGCTCCCACAAGCTTTACGGTTTGCAGAAAGTACCTCTTATTAAAACTGGCAAACTTCCCTCCCCGCTTTTAATGTCTCTTACGTGTGCATTTTTCCTTGTTTCTTTTGGCTTGCTTTTGAAAGCTGCTTTTTCACGTAGCTGTGGGGGTAGTAGTACTGTTTCTGGGTGCTTTTTTTTCTTTTAAAGGGGACTGAACTGAACCACCTCTACAGCTCTTGGTTTTAAAATTTGAGGTGACAGATTGTTTGGGAGTTCTCCATAGTACCTTAAAAGTGGGAAACTGGCAAAAGTGTGCTTGGCCAGGGTCAGCTGGGAAGGAGAAAATATCCTTCAGCAGATGCAGTCTTTGGAGAGCTTTCCTTGTCACGTCGTGTGGTTCGAACGTGAGGGTATCCATGCTGTCAACATGTCCAGCAAGTCTGGGTGAGTCTTTGCTGTGTTAATACTTATGGTTACTTTTTTCTTTTACACAACCTTCAGAGTGACTCAAGTCTGATGTGTTCCCGTTATCTTCAGTACTGCAGAGCAACCAATCTCTACCTTGATTTAAGAAACATCAAGAGAAATCATGACAGGTACTTAAGTGGTTAATGTTAACATCTAATATAAATTGTGAAATATTTTCAGATCCAGGGATTTTTTTTTTTTTTTTTTTTTTGAGACAGGGTCTTGCTCTGTTGCCCAGGCTGAAGTGCAGCGGTGTAATCATGGCTCACTGCAGCTGTGACCTCCCAAACCCAAGTGATCCTCCCACTTGAGCCTCTCAAGTAGCTGGGACTACAGAAGTGCACCACAAAGCTTGGCTAGTTTTTTAATTTTTGAAGAGATGGGGTCTCCCAGCATCGCCCAGGCTGGTCTAAAACTCCTGAGCTCAGGTGATCCCCCCACCTCAGCCTCCCAAAGTGCTGGGATTATAGGTGTGAGCCACCAGGTCTGGCTGAAGGGATATTTCTTGAATTTGTTTTTGATGATATGGCAGAGGGGTTGGGGAATGGATGGGGGATGGATGACTCAGATCGCATCGCAAAGTTGGGTTGTAGATACATTAGGTCCTGATATGATTCTGTTACTTTCATATACACTTGAAATTTTCTATTATAAATAGTTGAATTCTTTTAAAAAATTGAGTTTGGAAGTTGGTAACCCTCTTTAGTTACAACCCACGTGCTTGGGTCGTGAAGAAATTTTCTGAACTCTCCTTAATGTTTTGTTTTACACCAGATTTAAGGAGGACTTTTTCCAGCGTGGTGAAATTGGAGGGCACTGTCAACTTGACATCCGTACATTGATGTCTGAAGGTCAGCGCAAAAGCCCTCTGCAGTCATGGTAAGATATTTTTAACATATCTGTTTCAGAAATATTTGCCGTTATTTTTGGCACTTGCAGATATTAATGGGGACTCTCAAATGGAAAATGTTACTTCATTTGTACATAATTTGGCATGAGCTTCTGGGAAGTGACAGAAACCGAGTGAATCCCTCAGCTGCATCTGAATTAAATATGTGTTTATAATAGTAGATATAGTACTTACTGTTTGCTAATGAAAGAAAAAATCAGCTCAAAAATCCATTTTTATTAACTCACAATTGCTGAGTTTTATTCACTTACAAAGTCACATAGGTTACTTACATAATGTTAATTTTTAAGGTCAAACGTCCATGCCAAGGCCAGGAATGGTGACTCATGCCTATAATTGCAGCACTTTGGGAGGCCAAGGTAGAAGTATTCCTTGAGCCCAGGAGTTCAAGGCCAGCCTGGGCAACATGATGAGACCTCATCTCTAAAAAATAAAAATGTCTTTTGGGGAACACATTTAAAAAACAATACACATATATTAAAATATGTAACAAGCATACAGAAAAAGGTACAGTTTGGATTGTGAAAAAGTGAACCCACCCATGTAACTTTTACCCAGGTCCAAAAATAGAACATCGTGCGCACCTCAGGCTCCCTTCCAGGCTCTACCCCATCCCCCTCTCCAAAGGTAAATGCTACTCTGACTGTTAACATCATTGGCCAGCTTTTTGAATTTAAAAAATTTTTATTTTAAAATAATTTTAGACTCATAGAAGTTTAAAAATAGTATGTATTAGTCTGTTCTCAAGCTACTATAAGGATATACCCAAGACTGAGTAATTTTTAAAGGAAAGAGGTTTAATGGACTGACAGTTCCACATGGCTGGGGAGGCCTCACAATCATGGTAGAAGGCAAAGGAGGAACAAAGGTATGTCTTAAATGGCAGCAGGCAAGAGAGTGTGTGCAGAGGGAAATGCCCTTTATAAAACCATCAGATCTTGAGAACAGCACAGGAAAAACCCACCCCCATGACTCAGTTATCTCCCACTGGGTCCCTCCCATGATGGGAGCTACAGTTCAAGATGAGATTTGGGTGGAGACACAGCCAAACCATATCATAGTACAAGGAGAACTTGTACATTGTCTAATTCCCTGAGCTTCCTCTAATGATAATATCTCATATAACCGTGGCACAATGATCACAACAATGAAATTGACATTGGTACAGTAGTATTAACTTGTGCAGGTTTCACCAGCAATTACCTGCACTCATTAAAATTTTATCATGTGTGTAGGTGCGGGTGTGTAGGTAGGGAGCGGTAGAGGAAGGGGGAGGGGGAGGTGGGGGTGGGGACCACCATAATCAGGATGCAGTATCGTTCCATCATCCCAAAGAAACTCTCCTGCTACTCCTGTATAGTCACATAGGTTACTTACATAATGTTAATTTTCAAGGTCAAACGTCCATGCCAAGGCCAGGAATGGCAGCTCATGCCTATAATTGCAGCACTTTGGGAGGCCAAGGCAGGAGTATTACTTGAGGCCAGGAGTTCAAGACCAGCCTGGGCAACAGGGTGAGAACTCATCTCTAAAAAATAAAAAATAAAACATAATTAGCTGGGTGAGGTGGCACGCCACTATAATCCTAGCTACTTGGGAGGCTGAGCTGGGAGGTTTGCTTGAGCTCAGGAGGTTGAGGCTGCAGTGAGCTATGATTGTATCACTGCACTCCAGCCTGGGTGATGGACCAAGACCCTGTCTCAAAAAAAAAAAAATTCATGTTGAGCAAACCCTTTTTTTTTCCTCAAAGAGGCCTCACTGCCTGGCTGCAGATCATTCAGAATAATAATCTACCACACATTTATCTGGCATTTTGCAGTCTGCAATGCAGTCTCTCAAGTCACTTAGCAGACTTTTACAAGAGGTAGTTTCTATAATCAAGTGGGCTTTTTGATTCCTGATACTTTTTGATATTTGATTCCACATGGTAGTTGCACAGGGCTTAATTGTATTAGTTACTTATTGCTGTGTGACAGGTTATTCCAAAGTGTACCCTAGGGTATATTTGTATTTATTACCTATTGTGTATAACAAATCACTCTAAAATTTAGCAGCTTAAAATACAGACATTTATTATCTCACAATACTTCTGAAGGTCAGGGTTTGGGAGCAGCTTGGCTGAGTTGGCCAGGGCTGTAGCCATCTCTAGACTCAACCTGGGCCTGGGGAATCTGCTGCTAAACTCACTCAGGTTGTTGTTGTAAGCCTTGTCTCCTCTTGGCCAGGGACTTCAGTGTTGATCATATGGGCCTCTCCCTACTGCTGCTCACAGCATGGCTCCTGGCTTTCCCAGGAGCACATGGTCTGAGGGAGTACATGCTCTGAGATGGAAGCCACAGTACTTGTATAACTTAATCCCAGAAGTGTCCTACCATCAGTTCTGCTGTATTCTGCCTGTTAGGAGTGAGTCACTAAGTCCAGCCCACTCTTAAAGGGAGGGAATGAACTTCTTCCTCTTGAAGAGAGAGGTTTTAAAGAGTTTGTAGACCTATGTTTGAAACCACCACACTATGTTGGCATTGTGTTTTAAAAGGATCTATTTGGTATTTGTTTTACATGAGGTATGATCTGAAGGAAGAGGTACAGATGATTCATGCTTGGGATTGTCTTCTTTTGTTTGGAAGAAAATTGTGCTGTGTGGCTTCCAAAGATGTTTTCCAAGAGATAAACTTCCTTTCTTCTGGGACGCTTAGCTGTCTCCGCTGTCTTTCTGAGGCACTGGGTGATTCTTGGAATGCTGTCTCTCAGAATCCAAGAAGTCTGTCAAGAGTTCCTCTGGCTCATTGTTCTTTTTGAGCCTCGTTGGGAAATCTTTTGAGTCTTCTCCTTTTACTGGTAGGTTATTTAGACAACCCAATATATAAATATCTTCTTTGTGTGGTAAGTTCCCAGTCTAACTATCTTGCACATAAGATTGAATTTTAAAATAATTTTTGTTCCTTGTCATTTTTTTTTTTTTTTTGAGATGGAGTCTTGCTCTCTTGCCCAGGCTGGAGTGCAGTGGCGCAGTCTCGGCTCACTACAAGCTCCGCTTCCCGTGTTCAAGCGATTCTCCTGCTTCAGCCTCCTGAGTAGCTGGGACTACAGGCTCTCACCACTATGCCCAGCTAATTTTTGTATTTTTAGTAGAGATGGGGTTTCACCATGTTGGCCAGGATGGTCTTGATTTCCTGACCTCGTGATTGGACTGCCTCTGCCTTCCAAAGTGCTGGGATTACAGGCGTGAGCCATCGCACCTGGCGTGTTTTTTGTCTTAACATTAAAATTGATATCAACCTATATAAATGTAAGTTTTAGAAGTTACAGGTGTCCATAGGAGTGTGTCTACCAACTAGAGGTAAAATCTGCCTAATGAACAGATCCTAAGTTACAATGTTGTAATAGGAAGTTTGGGAGAATCAGTTTAAAGTCATATCCTAATTCATAATTTCAGGTTTGCTGAGCTACAAAGCTATACTCAGCTCAACTTCACACCTATAGAAGATGCTAAATGTGACATTGTCATTGAAAAACCAACATATTTCATGAAATTAGATGCAGGTGAGAAGTTAATTTGTCTGTTATTTGTGTATTTGTTAATGAGACGTTATTCCTTTTTTTGGATGCAGTAATTCTCTATGAATTTTTTGGAGGCAGTATGACAAACAGTAGATTTGTTTTTTTGCTTTCTTCTCTGATGTAGTAGTTGAACTAGTTTGAACTTCCCATTATTTTACACGTTTGGCATTTTAGAAGAAACCTTCACATTTGTATCAAAGGACTTAACCAAAATCAAAGAATGAGAGATGAAGGCATATTTATGCTTTTGTAACTAAATTTACCCCATCTCGTTTCTCTAATCACTTGATTTAGATGGTCTTTCATTAAAAGATGTTTAAAATCAAAAGCCGGACTGGGCGCGGTGGCTCACGCCTGTAATCCCAGCACTTTGGGAGGCACAGGCAGGCAGATCATGAGGTCAGGATATCAAGACCATCCTGGCCAACATGGTGAAACCCCATCTCTACTAAAAAAATACAAAAAATTAGCTGGGTGTGGTGGTGGGCGCCTGTAGTCCCAGCCACTCAGGAGGTTGAAGCAGGGGAAACACTTGAACCCAGGAGGTGGAGGTTGCAGTAAGCCAAGATCGCGCCACTGCACTCCAGCCTGGCGACAGAGCAAGACTCCGTCTTAAAAATAAAAAATAAATTTAAAAAAATATTAAAATCCATGTGTATAGTATGGGTGGGAAAGAAGTGTCCATGACCTGTGCTAGCAAACCTTCTATGTAATTTCCATGACTAAAGTGAACTTAAAATTCTTCTGGAAGTTACCAGTGTAATTTATTCTTGAAATAAGATTAAAATTATTTTATCATTTATACTTATAGCCTCTTTCTCAGCTTGCAAGTAGAGCTTTAACTTTGTGAACTAGTTACACTGGAGAGGAGAAACACAGATTGTACTATATTGTCTCTCTCATTATGAGAGACAAGGAATACTGTGCTAGATCATATCAAAATTCATGAGAGGTTGGGTTTACAGTGAAATATAGAGAGCCTCTGTCACACATATTTCAGAATTACTATAATTTATTGATCATAGTTTTAATGTGCTCTGCCTTCTGAAGTCATAATTCTTGTATTACAGAGTATTAAATTCAGAAATCAGACAAGTTTAGATTTTTGAACTAAGAGCAAGTAAAAATGCTATGTTCCAGGTTTTGACTCGTTTTTAAAATATGAAGATTAAAAAGGGGCAAAGAAAACACTGAACTGCCTGTAAAAGTGGCAAATATGTGTGAGCTATTAAATTTATGCAGATACTTATACAATAAAGTATATAAAGTGAGAATAATAGGCTAGAGTAGACATGTCCCATTTCTTTCCTATATTCATAACTCTGCTTTTTTTCTTCTAAATTATGCTGTCTTCCAATTTTACTTTTCTTTCTTTAGAGACAGAGTCTTGCTCTATTGCCCAGGCTGGAGTACAGTGGCATGATCACAGCTCACTGCAGCCTCAACCTCCTGGGCTCAAGTGATCCTCCCACCTTGGCCTCCCAAGTAGCTGGGACCACAGGCATGCACCACCATGCCTGGCTAATTTTTAAAATATTTTTTTAGAGACGGGATCTCACTAGGTTGCTCAGGCTGGTCTTGAACTCCTGGGCTTAAGTGATCCTCCTGCCTTGGCCTCCCAAAGTTCTGGGATTACAGGTGTGAGTAACTGTGCCTGGTTCAGTTTTCCTTTTCATGTTAACTTGTACCTTAGGAAAATGAGAATTCTACAGATCAAGACTCATTAGGGGGCACATTCCTCAAGGATGGAGGTTATGTTTTCTTCTCTGTTTATAAATTCTTGCAGCCCCAAGCACTGATTGGTGCCTGCTGCATTCCTCAGTAACTGTTAGGAACTCACTAAACGTTATGTGAAAGAGCTTGTGTGTGCTCTATGGCTAACTTGGGAAAAGAGGATGGATTCTGATAGAACTTTATTTTTCTGGTTATTTTGAAAATACATTCTTTGCCAGGTTTTTTTCTGGATGAAAAAATTAGCCCTTCCAAACAATCATCTAAGATAACCAGGCTGAAAAAAACAGAGTATTTTTATACTGTTATTTCTGGCACACAATGTTATTATTCACTGTGGGAATGAAGTCAGAATATTTTATGATTTCTGCTTTTGAGACTCCCTGTTTTTTTTTTACTTAACATTTTCCCACCTTTAAAATGCATGCTCTAAGTGTCAGTTCTTGGAATTTCATCCCATTTAGATTTGTACATTTTCAGGATGAATATTGGGTCCTGCATACCTAAGTGGAGAGGGTGCATGTTCTGTTTCTTTTTAATGAGTGGAATGTGAACTTACAAATAGTGGCACCCACAGCCCTCTCCACTCTATCTGACCTAGTGGGATCCAGCTAGTCTTCATTCAGGTCTTCCTATGTGCCTGGCACTGGGATGGGTACTTTAAGATGTATTATCTTTGGGTTTCTCATAATAAAGCTGGCACTTAGGTAACTATTTCCCATTTCTATAGAGAAGCTAAAGCTTAGGGACTTGATGAACTCCATCTAAGAATGTTGCACATGCATGGCTGTGCTGGAATTCAGCTTCTTACTCCAGAATTCCTTCTCTTTCAATCAGAACACAAGACATTCACCTCTTTTATATGATAGTTGGTTAATGTTTTTCCTGGAATGATATATATAATAATTAAATAGGGAAAAAAGAGACAGGAATGAAAATTACCAAAATATTAGTTGCCATCATTGCCAATACTTCCATGATGAACAGATGTTGCTTAATTGCTTTTTTTTTTCTTTTTCTTTCTTTTTTTTTTTTTTTTTGAGATCCGGTCTCACTCTGTTGCTCAGGATGGAGTACAGTGGTGTGATCTTGGTTCACTGCAACCTCCGCCTCCCAGGTTCAAGCAAATTCTCTTGCCTCAGCCTCCTGAGTGGCTGGGATTACAGGCAGGCACCACCACGCCTGCCTAATTTTTGTATTTTTAGTAGAGACAAGATTTCACCATGTTGGCCAGGCTGTTCTTGAACTCCTGACCTCAAGTGATTGGCCTGCCTCAGCCTCCCAAAGTGCTATGATTACAAGTGTGAGCCACTGCGCCTGGCCCCTTAATTGACTTTAAAAAATAAACGATCAAGCTAGGCACGGTGGCACATGCCACCATAGCAAGACCCTACCCCTGATTAAAAAAAAAATAAATAAAGTCAGAAGAAAGAATGAGTTGTCTTCCTGGCCCTGTAGTTCAACTCGGTTTTGAGTTAAATAGACCTACCTTGTTTTTTTCTGGAAACTTAATGATCACTTGTTACTTGGGATATATGGGGAAATGCATTCCTGATTTTAAATAACCAATTTTAGAGTGGCTTTTGAAACCGATTCAGGCTGTAAATTGAGGACTACCTATGTATCTAGATCATTTCATGTTTGGAAAAACAAAACAGTTATTTTTCCCCCATTTATTTCAACTAAAATTCTCTTAAACCATAAATAGATGGGATAGAATAAAACTTGCTTGATCATGTACTCTTTGGTGTTAATTAATGTAGTTTCATTTTCCAACACTAGGTGTTAACATGTATCATCACTTCTGTGATTTCATCAATCTTTATCTTACTCAGCACGTTAATAACTCATTCAGTACTGACGTGTACATCGTGATGTGGGACACTGTAAGTATGAATGTGCTCTCTGCTTCAGTACTGTCTTTCCCTTGTATTAGTGTGTGACTCTGATGTTGTGAAACAGAATTTTCAGACACATACTTTTCAATATACACTCCCGCGCATATGCGGATGGGTGCAAATGTATCTGTACATATATGTGTTGACATGTGCATATACATATAGGCAGATAGGTACGTATGTGTGTACCTTCATTCTTAGAATTTTAGAATGAGGCAGTGGGGAAGGTTTCTTTCCCTTTCTGGATGGGTGGAGCTCCCAAGGCCAGAGATTTAGTGACTTTGGCTCAGTGTTCCTCTGGGACACACATATGAAAGACTGCCATTCAGCTGGGTGTGATGGCTCACACCTGTAATCACAGCACTTTGGGAGGCCGAGGCGGGTGGATCACTTGGGGCCAGGAGTTCGAGACTAGCCTGGCCAACATGGTGAAATCTTGTTTCTACTAAAAATAGAAAAATTAGCCAGATGTGGTGGCACACACATGTAGTCCCAGCTACTCAAGAGGCTGTGGTCGGAGAATCACTTGAACCTGGGAGGTGGAGGTTGCATTGAGCCAAGATCATGCCACTGCACTGCAACCTGAGTGACAGAGCAAGACTCTGTCTCCAAAAAAAAAAGGCTGTCGTTCACTCAACCTGTATAACCTTTGTTGGAAGTGCTTGCCTCTGTTTACTGTTTGACCTTTTGCATTTACTGTCTGCCTTTGCTTAATAGCAGCTTCCCCGTTACTATGTCCTTTGTGCTGAATTATGCTGTGAGTTTCAGCTCACTGTATAGGGCAGTTCTTAGGCATGCCCATAAATACATGCATTGAGTGACAACTGCTATTTATTTGTTTTTAGTGCAATCTTTTTTCCTTCTCTCTCTTTGCCTGCCTTTTCCCTGCTTCTTCCCATATCTGGCCCCTCCACCTGCTAAGGAAACCCCAAGATGTGCCCCAGAATCTTCAGCTCTGAAATGAGATAGTGAGATAATGACACTTACCTAGGTGTCACTTTGAGAATGAACCATATAGTGAATGAACAGTCGCAATGCCTGGTACACAGTACTTGTGCTCTGAATGTTAACTGTGACAATTACAATAAGGAGAATAAATGGTTTGTAGTGTACATGAGAGAGGTTGCCTATACTGGGAAGTTGGAACACCTACCAAGGGGTCATATAAGGTTCCACTCAACATTCTGACTCACGACATTCATATGCTCGGCTCTTGATGTGAGTCTATTCAGGATGACATTGCAGGGGAACCACAGCTTGCTGGCAGGGCATCCTCAGGTGTTTCTTCCAGAGGGAGTGCTAGCAGTTCACACAGCACAGCTCAGGTGCAAGGAGACAAGATTCGCCTGGGGCAGGCACAGGCGATGCCTTGGCTTAAGAGCCTCATATCCTGTAGAGCCCAACATCTCCTGACACAACTGCGTTGGCAAAGTCCCCAGGATCCCTGAAAGAGACATGCCTGGTTTCAGGAGTCAGTGTACTCAGGAAAGCTGGAACATGGCTTTCCCAGTCCAGATGCAATTTACCCATCAAGCATCTATCTGTTTAGATCAGAAGCAATGCTGCCTAGGCGCATGGTTGACACAAGCCATTGCCATTTCCAGAGAGCTGAGTTAGCTAGTTAACAGGAGGTCAAATTCTCATGCAGAAGGAGAGATAGTTTTGCTGACCCTTTTTTCACTGATAAGAGGCTTGTAGTAGAGCTGTGTAAAAAGGTTTTCAGGAAAACTGCTCCCTAGATTTTGAGCTAGATTTTGAAGTCTGATGAGACTATAATTCTTGGTATGTTAATACTTTCTTTTATTTTCCATCTATATACATTTACGTTTCCCTTTTGTATTTCAGTTTTGCTGCCACCACAGTTTCATTTCTTGGAAATGTTTTGTGAGCAAAGGGAACAACAGTCCCTTTCTTTTCTTCTTTTTGTATCAGTGAAGTCAGGCCACACTCAGCAGCCATTACAAGCCCTAAATTATTAGTTCATGGTTGTTTTGCCCTTTTTAAACAAAATTATTTTTAAATTTTGTAATTAACATAAATTATGTTACTTCATTTCCTGCTCATGACCCCCCATGGACTTGAGTTTTCATTAGCTTATTTTACAGACAAGAGGCCGAGGCCTGAGCAGCAGGTGAGTGTTGTAAGATAATGCAGTCAGTGAGGGCAGAACCAAGGTTTCCATCCAGGCAGCCTGACCCCAGACCTGTGCTTGGACACCACAGTGCTGTGTCGTCTTCTTAAAGTCCTCTGAAGAGGACTGTACCTAAGTTGCCAAACTAAGTTGACAGAAATTTATCAGATGCCTTCCAGAAGCTTCCTTGTACCTGTTGCATGCTTTTCCACGTCTTCCTCAAATGGACTGTTATAGTGAGCCAGCTTCTACAACCCTCCCCTTCTCTGTGGCTACTGGAGTAGGATGCACGGCCACCATGAAGACTCCAGGTTATTCAGTCTGCTGAGCATGAGACATGAGGGCAGTCTGACCTCCGCTCTGGCACAGATAGGCAGGATGGGGGTAGCCCAGTAGGGTGGCTGCTCGGTGTTACCCCCCCTCCTTTACCACTCCCTGTGCATCCATTTTAAACCTGCATTCTTGGTCAAAGAAGTCTTTGCCATTTACTAAGCCAGGTTCTCAGGACAGGCAGCTCTGCCAGATTGCTCCAGAAATCAGGCCCAGAGAAGATGGTAGGTTGGATGGGGATGGCACTAAGTAAGGGTTTGTGTGGCTGCTGTTTCCCTTTTGTTGGTAAGGCCTTAAATTAAGCAGCACTGTGACCTGCAGGCTGACTATGACATGAATCCTTCACAGTGGATAGTGTTGCCAGAGTCCTGATGGTTTTGGACGAGCAGTTTGCCCAGGGAAGAGCAGGGAGGTAGCTGTTACTGCAGTTCACATCTTGGTGATATTTTCCAAACTGTCCCCACAAGGAAGCCTATGGGGCCTTCCCTCTCCTCCTTGAAAAGCTCTGCAGTTTACTTCCTTCAGCATGTGGCATCCTCAGTGGGATGGGCAAGGCCACCAACCTGCAAACATGCATAAAGGGACCCATCTTCAGTTGCCTCTCTGGGCACAGCAGGGTTGCTCTTATCAAGCAGAATGAATAAAAGGAGAAATTACTGTAGGCTTTCCACATTTGCTTGTGCTGAGAAGTAGTATAGCTTTATGATTACTTTTTTTTTGTTTTTGAGACAGAGTCTTGCCTTGTCACCCAGGTTGAAGTGCAGTGTTGCAATCTTGGCTCACTGCAACCTTCGCCTCCCAGGTTCAAGTGATTCTCCTGCCTCAGCCTCCCTAGTAGCTGGGATTACAGTGTGTGCCACCACGCCTGGCTGATTTTTATATTTTCAGTAGAGATAGGGTTTCACTATGTTGACCAGGCTGGTTTTGAACTCCTGACCGTAGGTGATCTGCCTGCCTCGGCCTCCCAAAGGGCTGGGATTACAGATGTGAGCCACCATGTCCAGCCGTGATTACTTTTTTAATTATGAAAGTAATACCTGTTTATAATGAATTCAAACAACACAGAAGTATGCAAAGTTTTTTAAGAAGTCTCCTTCTTCCTCTCCAATTCCCTGTTCCCCCAAGGGTAACTGCAGTTGTATGTGAGTCCCTTGCAGGACTCTCTTTATTTTAATAAGTGCAAATATGTCACCAGGCTAAAGTCCAGGAATATGATCCTAGCTCACTGCAGCCTTGCTCTCCTGGGCTCAGGTGATCTTCCTGCCTCAGACTCCCAAGTAGCTAGGACTATACGTGCATGCCACCATCCCTGGCTGTTCTTTTCCATAAATATGTTATATATGTGTTATGACAATATATATATTGTCATAACATATATACATGGGTGTGTGTATATATAATATATATTACTGTCTTCTGATTTGACATCTGGCTAATTTTTAAATTTATTTTCTGTAGAGATAAGATCTTGTTATGGTACCCAGATTGGTCCTTGATATAGTTTGGCTGTGTCCCCACCAAATCTCAGCTTGAATTGTATCTCCCAGAATTCCCACATGTTGTGGGAGGGACCCAGGGGAGGTAATTGAATCATGAGGGCTGGTCTTTCTGGTGCTATTCCTGTGATAGTGAATAAGTCTCATGAGATCTGATGGGTTTATCAGGGTTTTCCGCTTTTGCTTCTTCCTCATTTTCCCTTGCCGCCAACATGTAAGAAGTGCCTTTTACCTCCCACCATGATTCTGAGGCCTCCCCAGCCATGTGGAACTGTAAGTCCAATTAAACCTCTTTTTCTTCCCAGTCTTGGGTATATCTTTATCAGCAGACTGAAAACGGACAAATGCAGTAAACTGGTACCAGTAGAGTGGGGTGTTGCTGAAAAGATACCCGAAAATGTGGAAGTGACTTTGGAACTGGGTAACAGGCAGCAATTGGAACAGTTTGAAGGGCCCAGAAGAAGACGGGAAAATGTGGGAAAGTTTGCAACATCCTGGAGACTTGTTGAATAGCTTTGTCCAAAATGCTGATAGTGAAATGGACAATAAAATCCAGGCTGAGTTGATCTCAGATGGAGATGAGGAACCTGTTGGGAACTGGAGCAAAGGTGACTCTTGTTATGTTTTAGCAAAGAGAGTGGCGGTATTTTGCCCCTGCCCTAGAGATTTGTGGAACTTTAAACTTGAGAGAGATGATTTAGGGTATTTGGCAGAAGAAATTTCTAAGCAGACAACTATTCAAAAGGTGATTTGGGTGCTGTTAAAGACACTCAGTTTCAAAAGGGAAACGGAGCATAAAAGTTCAGAAAATTTGCAGCCTGACTGTGCAATAGAAAATAAAAACCTGTTTTCTGGGGAGAATTTCAAGTCGGCTGCAGAAATTTGCATAAATAGCAAGGAGCCTAATGTTAATTCCCAACACCGTGGGGAAAATGTCTTCAAGCCACGTCAGAAACCTTCATGGCAGCTGCTCCCATCACAGGTCTGGAGGCCTAGGAGGAAAAAGTGGTTTCGTGGGCTGGGCCTAGGGTCCCCATGCTGTGTGCAGCCTAGAGACTTGGTGCCCTGTGTCCTAGCCGCTCCAGCCATGACTGAAAGGGGCCAATGTACAGCTTGGGCTGTGGCTTCAGAGGGTGGAAGCCCCAAGCCTTGGCAGCTTTCATGTGGTGTTGAGCCTGTGGTGCACAGAAGTCAAGAATTGAGGTTTGGGAACCTCCACCTAGATTGCAGAAGATGTATGGAAATACCTAGATGCCCAGGCAGAAGTTTGCTGCAGGGGTGGGGCCCTCATGGAGAACCTCTGCTAAGGCAGTGTGGAAGGGAAATGTGGGGTTGGAGCCTCCACACAGAGTCCTTAGTGGGGTGCTGCCTAGTGGAGCTGTGAGAAGAGGGCCACCATTCTCCAGATCCCAGAATGGTAGATCCACTGACAGCTTGAACTGTGCACCTGGAAAAGCTGCAGATACTCAATGCCAGCCTGTGAAAGCAGCTGGAATGGAGGCTATACCCTGCAAAACCACAGGGGCAGAGCTGCCCAAGACTGTGGGAACCCACCTCATGCTTCAGCGTAACCTGGATATGAGAGCTGGAGTCAAAGGAGATCATTTTGGAGTTTTAAAGTTTGCCATGCTGGATTTCGGACTTGCATGGGCCCTGTAACCCTTTTGTTTTGGCCAATTTCTCCCATTTGGAACGGCTATGTTTACCCAATACCTATACCCTCATCATATCTAGGAAGTAACTAGCCTTCTTTTGGTTTTACAGACTCATAGGTAGAAGGGACTTGCCTTGTCTCAGATGAGACTTTGGACTCTGGACTTTTGGGTTAATGCTGAAATGAGTTAAGACTTTGGGGGACTGTTGGGAAGGCATGGTTTGTTTTGAAATGTAAGGACATGAGATTTAGAGGGGCCTGCGGCAGAATGATATGATTTGGCTATGTCCCCACCAAATCTCAGCTTGAATTGTATCTCCCAGAATTCCCACATGTTATGGGAGGGACCCGGGGGGAGGTAATTGAATCATGAGGGCTAGTCTTTCCCATGCTATTCTCGTGATAGTGAATAAGTCTCATGAGATCTGATGGGTTTATCAGGGTTTTCCGCTTTTGCTTCTTCCTCATTTTCTCTTGCTGCTGCCATGTAAGAAGTGTCTTTCACCTCCCGCCATGGTTCTGAGGCCTCCCCAGCCATGTGGAACTGTAAGTCCAATTAAACTTTTTTTCTTCCCAGTCTCAGGTATGTCTTTATCAGCAGCGTGAAAACTGACTAATACAGTCTTGAACTCCTGGCCTCAAGTGATCCTCCCACCTCAGCCTCCCAAAGCACTGGGATTATAGCCATGAGTCACCATGCCTGGCCAATATGTTTATATTCTTGTGGAAAATACACTCTCTGTCTCTTATTGCCACCTTAGTATTATCTCTGGAATGTCTTTTTAAGTCAGTATCTTTAGGGCTATCCTTGCTTTAGGTGTTATGTGGTATTCTGTTTAATGGATGTTTTGGAAGTTGGATGCATGCATCAGTGCATGTATTCATTTCCCACCCCACCGCCCCCCCATCACATTTGGTTTTGTTTCCAGTTCTTTGATATTTACTGAAATGTTACTGTAAACACATACATCCTTTCAATATACCTATATCTTCACATCCTCACCCTAGCATTTCTGTAGGACAGATTCCTGTAAGTGGAATTTCTAAGTCATAGATTATGTGCATGTTTAAATTTGAGACACACTAAAGGAAATTTTGTGTCATCTTGAAGACTATCCAAATATTCTTCAACATGAGTGTAGGAAGAAGCCCCTCCTTCCCTCATGGTAGATAATTTGGACTTGGGAAACATGGAAAAGAAGCTTCTGGAAGTGGTTCTTATTAAATAATGTATGACTTCCCTGAGGAAGGATCGGTCAGGATTATAGTATTTTATTATTAAAATTTCCTTTCAAACATATCTTATCTGGAGTATTTTATCTCAGGAAACCATCCAGAATCACTTCTTTTAATTGCCCTTTATTTATTACTGAGCCAGAACAGGGACATTTCATTTTAGATGGTGTTGAGAAGGGCCTTTATTAGAATGGCATTGGAGGAACATGGAAAGAAGCCTTTTTTTTTTTTTTTTTAATTTTCACGTCTAACAGATCTCAGTAACTTTGAAATAACTGCAGTATGTGCAACATAAAATTTTCAAAATCTGAGAAAATGCTATAAAGATAAAAAGACATGAACATAATGTCTATATATGACCTTGAATGTAATGCTACAATGCATATTTCTGATTTCTGTTGGCTGAATTTTTCAATCTAAGTGAAACCATTTAAAAATTAATTGATCTTCTTCTTAGCTAATGGAGCTCGTAATTAACTACTTTTCAAAAGAGAAATTAGTCTGGGTGTGGTTTCTTTAATTCCAGCACTTTAGGAGGCCGAGGTGGGCAGATCACTTGAGCTCAGGAGTTTGAGACCAGCCTGGCCAATATGGTGAAACCCTGTCTCTATCAAAAAATACAAAAATTAGCTGGATGTGGTGGCGTGCGCCTGTAATCCCAGCTACTTGGGAGGCTGGGGCAGGAGAATTGCTTGAACTTGGGAGGCAGAGGTTGCAGTGAGCCCAGATCATGACATTGCACTCTAGCCTGGGCGACAGGGTGAGACTCCATCTCAAAACAAAAACAAAGCAAAACAAAAAACCAAAAAACCATGTGATTATACTAGAAAGAACTAATTCCCACTGAGAGGCAACTGTCAGATGGAGCTGGCAGCAAAGGCTAGGTTGAATCCCAGCTCTATAACTCAGCTGCTTTGCAGTATAGGCAAATGACTTAAAATTGTGTCTCAGTTTCCTCATCTGCAAAATAGGGAAAATGATATTATCTACTCATTAGGCTTGTGGGTGGCTTAATGTACATTAATAATGTCAAGTGCCCAAAACAGTGCCTGGAACACAGGAAGTGTGTAGGATGCTATTATTATTATATAAAGTTGTTATTGACACCATTAATATTAATCGGAAATTACCACTTTTTATTCACTAGTCAATGGGTGGGGGAATATTTCATAGAATTACATATATTATATATTTTTATTTTATTTTATTAGAGACAAGGTCTTGCTCTGTTGCCCAAGCTGGAGTATATGGCATGATCATAGCTCACTGCAGCCTTAAACTTCAAGGCTCAAGTGATCCTCCCACCTTTGCCTCCCAAAGTGCTGGAATTACAGGCATGAGCCACTGTGACCAGCCTTTATTTTTAATGTTAAAACTTTCTTTTTTTCTTTTTTTGAGACTGAGTTTCATTCTTGTTGCTCAGGCTGGAGTGCAATGGCATGATCTCGGCTCACTGCAACCCCTGCCTCCCGGGTTCAAGTGATTCTTCTGTCTCAGCCTCCCGAGTAGCTGGGATTACAGGCACATGCCACCAAGCCCAGCTAATTTTTGTATTTTTAGTCGAGACAGGGTTTCATCATATTGGTCAGGCTGGTCTTGAACTCCTGACCTCAGGTGATCTGCCTGCCTCAGCCTCCCAAAGTGCTGGGATTACAGCTGTGAGCCACTGCACCTAGCCAATGTTAAAACTTTGAACCCATTTTCTTGCTCTGAAATTTTTTTCTAAAGTATTTTTCATTCACCCTGATGGTTTTTGCACACTGAGCATAACAGAGTGTGTACAAACGGTGGCATATGTGTGTGCGGTGTGCATCTATAATTTGGATAAGATGTTCACAGGAAAAAACCCTGAACTACAACTTCAAAGACGTGAGAATAAAAGAAGTTTAGGTAGAAAAATGAAACACTGTTAATGGCTAAGAGTATAATTGTGATAATTATTTCTGATGATATTTCATGAAATTAGGCATTTGCTCTGGCCCAAGATGAAGATCCATTTTGCTTATACGGATTTTGTGTAGGATTGTTAGTTTTTAACACAAGCAAATTCAGGTATTTTGTTGCATCTTTGAAAAGTCATGTTGTATCCTTTCATTGCCCTAAAACCTTGTTTTGTTTCTACTTTCAGAGTTCTTACGGATATGGTGACCTATTCTCCGACACATGGAATGCATTTACTGATTATGACATTATACATTTGAAAACTTATGATTCCAAAAGGGTACTGGAAATTTTCCTGAAATGTTTGTGAATATCTCTTGAGTGCAGATGACTCACTCATAAAATAAACATTTATTATGAGTTCCTATTAGCCATTACCACTGATTTCTGAATTCTGAATTTCTTTTATTATAATTAGAATCCTCAGTGTTGTTAATCATGCAGCCTTTGAAAACTTTTTTCTATAATCTTTCCAAAAATATGAATTCTGTTCTCTTTGAATGAAATAGCGTGCTATTCAAACAATCTTAATGCAAAATGGGGATTAATTGAAATCAGTTTTTCAAAATTATACATGCTATTTTGGTGTGAAGGGTGCAAATTACATCCTCTTATCTTTTAATGTATCTTTGTTCTTAGGTATGTTTTAAAGAAGCTGTTTTTTCATTACTCCCCCGCATGAGGTATGGGCTGTTCTATAATACTCCTCTGGTAAGCATGCTGTCTACCATTAGCATTCATATTTACAGACATTATAACATTTATACATAACTTGACAGTATTTTAAATTATAATACAGAAGTATTCATTGTAATATCAACCAGTGTTTTTATTTTAGATATCTGGCTGTCAAAATACTGGACTATTCAGGGCATTTTCCCAGCATGTGCTACACAGACTAAACATCACACAAGAAGGACCCAAGGTAATGGATTCTGAGATGGGCTTGAGTTTTCTTCCCTAATAAAAGTTGATACCACCTTTTCAGAAACAGAAATAATCAGGAGACCATGTTTTCGTGTTAACATTTTCTGGGGAGGCCAAGGCAGGTGGATCACTTGAGTCCAGGATTTCAAGACCAGCCTGGCCAACATGGCAAAACCCCATCTCTGCAAAAAATACAAAAATTAGCTGGACGTGGTGGCACGTGCCTGTAGTCCCAGCTTCTCAGGAGACTGGGGCACGAGAATTGCTTGAACCCAGGAGGCAGAGGCTGCAGGGAGCCAAGACCATGCCACTGCACTTCTGCCTGGGTGACAGAGCAAGATGCTGTCCCAAAACAAAACCCAAAAACATTTTCTGACCTGGAGTCATCTGAAACCAGATGTCAAAAACCTGTAAAAGAGAAACTAAGGGATATTGCAAGAATGTGCTTCCTCGTGCCCTCCTTTCCCTCTTCATTGGCTATATCTCCCTCACCTCCACAAATATTCATTTAACTTACACAACCCCTGCCAAAAAATTCACCCACCCAACCAAACAGATAATGTAATGAACTGGTTTTTGCCTTCGGTGGTTGAAGTGGACACGTTTTTATTCTCTGAGAGTGGTGAAGGAATCAGGCTAAAAAAGAATAGTTCTATTAATGTATCCTGGTTGAGTTTCATCTCTTGGTGAAAATCACATTTTAGGTTCAGATGTTCATTCATCTACCCAGGCATATACAGTGTTATTTTACTATTTCATTTTGATTACAGGATGGAAAAATTCGAGTCACCATTCTTGCACGGAGCACCGAATACCGGAAAATCTTAAACCAAAATGAGGTTAGTTTTTGGTATGCGTTTTTAATGCCTTCATATTGAATTTATAAAGGAAATTGTGCTTTTTTTTTGCATTACAATTAAAAGCTTTGGTTTAGGCCAGGCGCGGTGGCTCAAGCCTGTAATCCCAGCACTTTAGGAGGCCGAGACGGGCGGATCACGAGGTCAGGAGATCGAGAGCATCCTGGCTAATCCGGTGAAACCCTGTCTCTACTAAAAAAATACAAAAAAAAACTAGCCGGGCGAGGTGACGGGCCCTGTAGTCCCAGGTACTCCGGAGGCTGAGGCAGGAGAATGGCATGAACCCGGGAGGCGGAGCTTGCAGTGAGCTGAGATCCGGCCACTGCACTCCAGCCTGGGCGACAGAGCAAGACTCCGTCTCAAAAAAAAAAAAAAAAAAGAAAAGCTTTGGTTTAAAACTATTAGTTTTGACAAAAGTTCGATGGCCTATTCCCAGTTTATTTATTGGATTTTAATTTCTAGTGAGATTCACCTAACCAACCATGGACAAACTAGCTTTGCCTTATAGTAAATGTTCATCTGCATCAACTCAGCCTGGAGAAAGCTGTCTGAATCTTGCCTTGACTGCAGTAGAGGGCATCCAGACAAACAAGTAGCAAAAAGGCAAGACTTTCTTTTGCATAGTTGATGCAAAAGATGGTTGAGGCCATTAATCCTGTGGTATCAGCAGCAGATTCAGTTGGAAGAATCTCTATTCTGTTACGTGACCATGTCTTAGAAACTGCATTTTCGGCATCCTGACTCATTGCAGTAGCACCAACTCATAAATTATATTTAACCTCAATGAGATCACCATGCAGGTCCACTACCTACAACATCATGGCCTGAAGGTAGCCTCTCAGTAGTAAGAATTTATTCTACAATAGTTAATTGAGCACCTGCTGTGTGTCAGGCCATGTTCTAGGTCCTGGAGATAGAGTAGAGCAAAGATGGGGAAGGTGCCTGACCTCATGCAGCTTACACTCTAGAGGTGAGAGACAGATAAGAAGTAAGTAAAAAAGTCAGTAAGTACGGTGATGTCAGGCAGTGATAAGTGCTTCGAAGGATATGAACCAGGGTGATGTCATAGAGACTGGGAATGTGGATGGAGGGGGTTGGTACTCACATGAGGGCATCAAAGAGACACTGCTTAGACTGAGACCTAATCAGAGAAGGATCTAGCAAGGGAAAGAGCCTCCCAGGCAGAGGCAAATGTATTCTAGTGGACTGAGCTTTCAGTATTCTAGAAACAGAGAGAATACCAATATGACTGTAACATCTTGAGAGAGGTGGGGCAATATCCAAGAAGTTAGGCATGGGGCAGGGAGGTCACAGATCATATCAGCCTTCTAGACCTTGGTGGGAGAGGGATTTTATTCCAGTGTAGGGGAAAGCCACTGTGAAGTTTTAAAGCAAGGCATTGTTGGTAGAATAATGTCTCTTCCTCCTCCTCCCGAAAGATGTCCACATCCAAATCCCTGGAACTTGCGAACAGGTTAGGTTACATGGCATAGGGAAAGTAAGGTTGCAGATGGGATTAAGGTCCCCAACCAACTGTCCTAAAAGTAAGGAGATTTTCCTGGATTATCCACGTGAGCCCAGTATAAATCACAAAATGGGCCTTAAAATCCATCTGCCAGAGAACTTTTGCCTCTGCCTGGACAGCTCTTTTCTTCACTGGCTTCTTCTCACTGATCAGATCTCAGTTCATCATTTCCTTAAAAGTGGGAGAGGGAGGCAGGAAAGAGAGTCAGAGAAGGAGATCTAAGGGAAATGGGGCCAGAGAGATGCCATGTTGCTGGCTTCGAAGATGAAGGGGGCAGGCCTTGAGTCATGGAGTGTGGAGGGCTTCTAGAAGCTGGAAAAGGCAAGGCAGTGGGTTCTTCCCTGGAGCTTGCAGGAGGAACACAGCCCTGCTGACACCCTGATGTTAGCCCAGTGAGACCCATGTCAGGCTCCAGGCCTGCAGAACTGTAAGGGGATAAATTGTGTTGTGTTGAGCTGCTAGATTTGTGGCAGTTTGTTACAGCAGCAAATAGAAAACAAATACAGAGGGAGAGACATGAATTGACATTTATTTTTAAGTCATTCTGCCTGCAAGAGTGAGAGCAAGGAGACTGATCAGAAGCTGTTATTGTGGCCCAGGGGAGAGCGTTTAGCCAAAGTGATGACAGTAGAGATGACATGGTAGATGGATGCAAGATATATTTTGGAGATAGGACCTATGATACTTACTTTTGGAATGCAGAAGTACATTCACACTAGAGAAGGCCAGGAAAAGTATCAAGGATCAAGTGTGATTTGAGGCTTTTAACTTGAGCAGGTAAGTGGGAACAAACTGGACAATACTTATTAAGAGGGAAGTTGGGGGAGGGGGGTCATGTTTTGATGGGTAAAATATTTTACACAGACTAATTTGGCTGCCTAAGAAGCTGATCAGAATTATGTAATTAACGTCTCTTCCTGAGACCCATATGGATTACAGAGGACATGAACACATGGCATAATGAGGTGTTAATTGTAAGCTCTGTGGATGGAAGAAATGAGCAGTGTGTGTGTGGAGGGTGTATGTGTTTGTATGTGTGTGTTTAAAGACCTAGAAATAACGTATCAAATAGTGCAATGTTGGGTATACAAATGGGAAACCTCAGTAGCCAACAGATCAACAGTATATGTTGGTATGGACCATATATATTGAGTGCAATTGGGGGTCACGCATATTATTGTGTGCTCCTTTTGTACATTGTGCCCCCCAACCCTCCCAGCAAACCCATGAGGTAGGTATTGTATTATTATCCTCTATCCTAGACAAGGACACTGAGACTCAGAGGTTAAAAAACATGCCTAAGGTCACCCAGCTGGTGATTAGAGTAACGAGGACATGAGTCAAGGTAGTCGGGGACTGAAACTGCTTTCCTAGCCAGAGTGTGCTACTACTGAAACAGCGAATAGATTTCAGAGGAGGCAGAATCTACCTCTGGCCCCAGTCCATCAGGAAGGGGCAGGCTGAGGAAAAGCATCAGGCTGCTGCAGAGAAGTCCAGTAGAAAGGTATAGTGCTATTCACAATAGCAGAGACTTGGAACCAACCCAAATGTCCATCAGTGACAGACTGGATTAAGAAAATGTGGCGCATATACACCATGGAATACTATGCAACCATAAAAAAGGATGAGTTCATGTCCTTTGTAGGGACATGGATGCAGCTAGAAACCATCATTCTCAGCAAACTATCTCAGGAACAGAAAACCAAACACTGCATGCTCGCACTCAGAGGTGGGAATTGAACAATGAGAACGCTTGGACGCAGGGTGGGGAACATCACACACCGGGGCCTGTTGTGGGGAGGTGGAAAAGCGGAGGGATAGCATTAGGAGATATACCTAATGTAAATGACTAGTTAATGGGTGCAGCACACCAACATGGCACATGTATACATATGTAAAAAACCTGCATGTTGTGCACATGTCCCCTAGAACTGAAAAGTATAATGAAAAAAAAAAAAAAAGAAAGGTGTGGTGCTGGTAGATGCTTTAATGCAGGCGTGAGATTTTCAGATTCAGTCATACACATTGCCCAGATGATGGTGCCCAAAGGTGAAATTTGATCATTCAGCCCCCAACTCCAAACCAAAGAGCACCCAACTGGCTGCTTCTGTCCTGAGGATTGGATCTCACTAGAAAGGCAGCTCCCGGGCAGGGAAGAAAGCACCTTTGGCTATACTTTGATTAATAAATAGATAATACAACCTAAATAGCCTCATTAAATCATGGCTTGTGGAATCCTGCCCAACTGCAGAGTTTGAATAGCTATTGGAAGGGATAGGGCCGCCTTTCTCCTGCAACTAGAAGTCATGAAAAAGGGCATGCTTACCTTGAGACCCTCAGCACACGTGATTCCTTTTATGTGGGCAATCTCGTTAAAAGACCAACGCTTGCCGGGTGCGGTGGCTCACGCCTGTAATCCCAGCACTTTGGGAAGCCGAGGCGGGCGGATCACAAGGTCAGGAGATCGAGACCATGGTGAAACCCCGTCTCTACTAAAAATACAAAAAAAAATGAGCCGGGCGCGGTGGCGGGTGCCTGTAGGTCCAGCCACTCGGGAGGCTGAGGCAGGAGAATGGCGTGAACCCAGGAGGCAGAGCTTGCAGTGAGCCAGGATCGCGCCACTGCACTCTGGCTTGGGCGACAGAGCGAGACTCCGTCTCAAAAAAAAAAAAAAAAAAAAAAAAAAAAGACCAACGCTTATGCCATCTGCCATCTCTCCTGTAAAACAGAATGCTAATCTTCTTACCCCTTCAACTCTTCATAAGAGTTCAGGGGCTGTCTGGAGAGAGAAATTTCCAGTCACGACTCTCTCTGTGTGTGTGTGTGTATGTGTGTGTGAGTGACAATGGGGGGGATTCAATCTTGGTCACTGCTTGTTGCTTTCTGTAAGCAGGACAATAGAGCGCACTGGTTAAGAAGGTTAAGAACACAGGTTCTGGGGTCAGAAGACCTAGATTTATTTTTGGCTGTGCATTTGGGAGCTGTGAGATCCTGAGAAAGTTATTTCACTTCTCTGAGCCTATCTTGTGTAATTTATCAAGTGGGCATAGTACTAATACTTACCTGGTATGATTTTTTTTTTTTCAGACAGAGTTTTGCTCTTGTTGCCCAGGCTGGAGTGCAATGGCATGATCTCGGCTCACTGTAACCTCCATCTCTTGGGTTCAAGTGATTCTCCTCTCTTAGCCTCCTGAATAGCTGGGATTACAGGCATGCGCCACCACACCCAGCTAATTTTGTATTTTTAGTAGAGATGGGATTTCACCATGTTGGTCAGGTTGGCCTCGAACTCCTGACCTCAGGTTATCTGCCCACCTTGGCCTCCCAAAGTGCTGGGATTATAGGCGTGAGCCACTGCGCCTGGCCACTGGTATGATTCTTATGAGGATTAAGTGAAGTAAGCCTAATGACACACTTAGAAATGCCAGCACCACTTATATGCCCCGTCAGTGATACATGCAACTATTGATGTTGCTATTGCAGTGTAGTGCATGCCACAAGGCAACATGATTCAGGTGCAGACATTTCTGAATGGTGGTGATCCTCTATGACCTAATTGTGAGGGACAGAGAACCATGACTATATTTTTCATAACAGATTAACAATGCTTTGTTACTTTCTGTTTGCTAGAAGAGTAATAGTTTTTCTATGTAGAAGTACTGAAAATGTTTTTCTGCCAAGACCTTAGTATTTTCAGGGGATGAGGTTCAAAGCACTAGTGGTTTGTCTGAAATGAGATAATGGATGGGACAAAAACTCTAAGGTAAAGGCTGGAGTAACAGTTAATGATTAGTGTATTTCTGTGCCTAGCACTTTGCTTCCATGAGTTTTATTTTCCTTTCAGCCTCACAACAACACAGTGCATTGGTATTGAGGGAGGTAGAGTCATGTGTTCACAGGTGGAGCCTGGATTTGAACTTAATGACAGTTCAAAACTGTTGACCCAAATGATATTTATTTTCTTTTTATTTGTTGTTGTTGTTACGAAATGATATTTAATCTCTGAAATAGTATATGCAAAAAAAGAAATTTTAGGACTCATAAAGGAAAAACAGAAGAGAAAGAAGGAAAAGAGATGCTAAATGTTTCTCTTTTTTCCCAGCTTGTAAATGCACTGAAAACAGTACCTACATTTGAAGTCCAGATTGTTGATTACAAGTATAGGTAAGTAATAGCCAATCTCAGCAGACACTGTCAACTTTTGCTTGGATGAGGTCAAGGGGGCTAGAAAGCATTTTTCCAGTGGGAGTCATTGGCATTTGTAGGCCCAGAAGGGACAAGTAGATCTTATAAATGAATGAAATGGGCAGGTGAGGGCCCTGGGAACAAGGGCAGTTACTCTTTTTCTTTCTGGGGCCTGATGTTGGGACTCCATCTCCTTATTCAAAAGAAGTGATGAATTCAGATTTTCATTTAAAATTTCAGAAATTTTTTGTTTGTTTGTTTGTTTGTTTTTGAGACAGAGTCTTGCTCCGTCGCCCAGGCTGGAGTGCAGTGGTGCCACCTCGGCTCACTGTAACCTCCACCTCCTGGGTTCAAGTATTTCTTCTGCCTCTGCCTCCCGAGTAACTGGGACTACAGGCATGTGCCACCATGTCCGGCTAATTTTTATATTTTCAGTATGGATGAGGTTTCACCATGTTAGCCAGGCTGGTCTTGAAGTCCTGACCTCAAGTGATCCGCCCACCTCTGCCTCCCAAAGTGCTGCGATTACAGGCATGAGCCACCACACTCGGCCTAAAATTTCATAATTTTAAAAAATTAGCAGATTGGATACGGTGGCTCATGCCTGTAATCCTAGCATTTTGGAGGCCGAGAAGGGCAGATTGCCTGAGCTCAGGAGTTGGAAACCAGCTTGGGCAACATGGTGAAACCCATCTCTACTAAAAAATACAAAAAATGAGCCGGGTGTGGCAGCATGTGCCTGTAGTCTCAGCTATTCAGGATGCTGAGGCAGGAGAATGGCTTGAACCTGGGAGGTGGAAGTTGCAGTGAGCTGACATTGCACCATTGCACTCCAGCCTGTGTGACAGTACGAGACTCCGTCTCCAAAAAATAAAAAATTTTAAAAAAGGGCAACTAGTTCAAAATTTACAGATGTTATAAACCTAATTTGCCCTGCCTGCTGCCAGATTTCAACATCTGACTTAAAATTATTTATATGGGGATAATTTGAGGGTCAGAATAACATGAAATTTTAAAAAATGTTATGAAATATTTACATTTCTTTTAAAACTCTTAATACAACTAAAAGACTTAGAAAGAAAGAATATGTCTATTATTCACAGTTTAGTTAATTCCTGTTGCTAGAATTACATCTTACTGGTAAAAGTAGTACATGTTTCTGGTTGAAAAAGTCAAGCAGTATAGAAAAGATCAAAAGGAAAAGTGAAAACTTTTGTCTCCATGTCCACCTGCAATCACAGCTGTGTTTCCCAAATCTAACACTATGAAGACTTTCCAGTTAAAAGAAGTACACGTCCCAGCATGTGGGTATCTAATATAGATACACTTAATTTCAGAGAATGTAAGCATGGGAGCTTTGCACTTCATTCATCATACATTAGTTCATTTGTGCAGTAAATCTCTACTGGGGACCCATGAGCTGGTTGCCAGTCTCAGCAGTAGGAATCCCATCCCATTATGGCGGATGGCATAGCCCTGGTCTTGAGGATCTCAGACACTGAATAGAGATAAATAGCAATCGTAAAAACAGCTATTATTTATCTCATCTCATGCTTTCAACAGTCTTCTGAGTTGGCCCATCCAGTCCCATTTTACAGATTATACTCTGCAGTGCTGAAGAAATGTTGTGTCAGTGTTGCTTGAAGAAATGAGTGAGCCAAGATGGGGCCCCCACATCAGTCCCAAAACCATTCACTGAGATGAGGCTGGGAAGAAATGGAAGGAACTGGGGAGGGCACCTCTGAGGTTGTATCATTGAGTGGCTTTTAAGGATATGTTGTAGTTTCTCAGATAAGCAAGAATGACAATGAATTCGTATCTTGCCAGTCTGCGGGAAATATTAGTAACATGTTAGCATGGGGATTGGTGAGTGCTGACCACAGGCGTTTCCACAACTGGCAGCTCCAGGGGTATGTTCATCTGGGTGAATGGCCGTCCTTCCCTTGGCACCAGTTCACATTCCTGGAGAAACTGAGGCACATGTTCTTATTGCAATACATATACGCATGGAGCTGTCTTCCTTTTCCTCTGCGGAGTTTTGTTATTAGCTGGTGTAAAAGGGAATTCACCTTCCCTTCTTAGATCCAAAATAATCTTGATCATTTCTTTTTCTTTACTTTGGGTAAAATGGGGCTGGGAGATCTCATTTCTTTCTGTTTATTCAGAGTGTCACCCTTATTCCAACATTTCTCCCTAGCCTCACCTCAGTGAACTGTTTGGGGACTGATTTTTGGTTCAAGGGTTACACACTTATTAGTGTCTTGAGTTTAGAGAACACTTGTACAGTCCTAACATGCATAAAATTGCGTATTTGTCTGTTCCAAAGGCAGGATAATGCCTTGATGGTATCTGAGATAATTTTGGATGTACCCAGCTGGCATTAAAAAACTTAAATCACACAAGGAGAAATTTTTCTTTTTGAGAAGTCCTTATATTATCCTAAGGAAATAGTTTTTAATTTAGTGCTAGCATGTCATAACATCTCTTTAACACTTGCCAGTTTCTCTTTTTCATGAAGAAAGAGCAGGCCTCAGGCTCTGAGCTTTGTCTTGCAATAGTATCTATCTCGATTTGAACACTACTTAGTTTGATTGTGTCAATTTTTACAATTTTGTTAATGTCATATGTCACTGATTTTCCATTTAAGACAGATGTTAAAGTTTCCTTTAAAACTAAATATGCTTAAACCTAAAAGGATAGGTGAGCTTACTTAGAAAATATGTTAAATTATTAAGAAATTTATTAATTACTAGAGAGCACTTGAAATTGGCAAAAATGCTTCTAAAAATGGAATGTGGTTTAAAATGGGCAATACACTTTTATAAATATCCTTACTGTGAATCATGAACTAACTCAACCTGATACTTCTCCCTTCTCCCCATCTCTCTCGTGTTACTCTGTATGTTCACAGAGAACTTGGGTTTTTGGATCAACTGAGGATCACACACAACACAGACATATTTATTGGAATGCATGGAGCTGGTCTGACCCATTTACTTTTCCTTCCAGACTGGGCTGCTGTATTTGAACTGTAAGTGTTTGGAGGCAGTTTTACATTGAAGCAACTGATAATGCTTTTTATGCATGCTAAGGCTTTCATGCTGAGCATCAAAAGGCTTAATATTTAATCATTCAAAAACAGAAGTCACATCATATAGACATCTGGAAAGAAAAAAGGCCTGAAGCTAAAAATACAAAGTCCGTAGCCTGCCATTGCGCTTAGTAAGCCAATTACCCCTTCATCTTCCCATCCCCAGCATGATACGGAAGATTTGAATCTGTGGTTTCCTTATTCTGAGTTTGTTCCTGCATACCTCCCAAACTCTGAGCGTCTTCTTGCAAACAGTGTAGTTATTGTGTTAAAAGAAAGCATTTATGGCTCATGCACAACATAGCTCCAAAACACAAGCCAATCACTTCACTTAGTGCTTGTTGATCCCATACACAGGGAAACTGAGGCCCTTGGGTGCTAGTGACTTGCCCAGGGCATGCTTTTAACTCAGTGGTTCGTTTATGGAGACATGGCCTTCCCTCTCATAATAATTCTGCTATTGACACTGTGTTCCATTTTAGTTCTTGAGACACTAATAGCAGTTACTGTTACCTGTTTCCCCCCATTATGCTAAATATCTGGATTCTATGGTTTCATTTGAAAAATGATTTGACTCTGTATTTATATAGGAGGCTATTTAGGAAAAAAAGTTGTCATGAACTTCCAATGCCCTGCAAAACATTTCAAAAATATATATGATATATGTAGAGAAATAGCCAGATAATGGATTCTGTCTCTGTCATTTCTCCTATAGAGAGAGAAGGAAGGATGGAAAAAAGGAGAGAGAAGGGAGAGAAATGTAACTGAGAAAACTCAAGCCTTAGAGTCTAATGGACCTGGGTTCTACTTTTGCATCCTTCACTATTTAGTTATATGACCTTGGAAGTGTTACCTATCCCCCTTGCCACTTAAATACATTTGAAGACAGGTATTATAAGGTGATGTCAAGTTCATAGGCAGCAGGCCCTACTGAACAAGGTCAGTTCTTTCCATTCCATGACCCTATTTTGTTTTTTAAAAGTTAAGTTCATTTAGTTCAGAGAATATTTTTACTTTCTCTTCCTCAGTCTTGTTTACTATCTTCCTCAGTCTTGTTTACAACCTTTTGCAAGGACATATTTGGGAGCTGCATTTTATTTTCACAGAGAGTTGTTGATTTGGCAGAAACCTTGGACAAAAGCCTCATGTTGTGACACCCTTGTGTCCTTAGGTACAACTGTGAAGATGAACGCTGTTACTTAGACTTGGCCAGGCTGAGAGGCATTCACTACATCACTTGGCAAAGGCAGAACAAAGTCTTTCCTCAGGATAAGGTAAAGTTCAATCACAAAACTTACCTTGCTTCATTTTTAATTGGTTTAAAGTATCCAATTATTGATATGAAAAACAGTTATTGAACTTGAGTGCTGCAAAGATAAACTGTTCTCTGGAATACTGAATTGTTTTATTTTATATTTGCAAATAGGAGAAAAGGGGGAATTAAGCAACCTGTATCTTTAATGTTGTACAGGCAGCTTCGTGAAATTTCAGCTTAGAAAAATCTACTAGATTATATATAGAGAGGGGATCAAGAAGCAACAGCCCTGTGGGCAAATCCAGCCCATGACATGTTTTTGTAAAGAAAGCACAGTCATGCCTATCTGTTTATGCGCTGTCTCTAGTTGTTCGTGCACTTCAGTGACAGAGTGGAGTAACTGTGACTGAGACCTTAGAGTCAGCAGAGCTGAAAATATTTATCTTCTGGCCCTTAACAGGAAAAGTTTGCTGGTCTCTGATGTAGAACATAAATTAGTTGCCTTAGCCAAAGTAACATAATTTTCTTGCTGTAGAGAAAACCATGCCCTTAGTGAGTTATGGATTCGTGTTTTGGTTTGTTTTCGCAGGGCCACCATCCAACCCTGGGGGAGCACCCGAAGTTCACCAACTACTCTTTCGATGTAGAAGAATTTATGTATCTTGTCCTTCAGGCTGCAGACCACGTATTGCAACACCCAAAGTGGCCATTTAAGAAGAAACGTGATGAGCTATAAATATGTTGAGTCTGTTTGCAAAAAGAGAGTGTTTAAACACTCTAGCACCCAGACTTAGAATTAAATCAGTAAAGCAATCTCTTATTTCCTATCCCCGAATTACCTTTTCTATGCCAAAACATACCTTCAGGATATTGTTATGTGTTTTGTAGACGTTAAGTGTTTCATGTGGTTTTTGTGTCATTGCTATTTATCAATAGCAATAATTTTGCACTGAAATCTTTTTATAGTTCAAAAATTGAGCATGGACTCCCTGGTACACTTTACCTTTCTACCTAATAGATATATATAACCTAATAGATTTTTCTAAGCCCAAATTTCATGAAGCTGACTTTATAACGTTAAAGATATAGGTTGCTTAACTCCAGGCTGGAGTGCAGTGGTATGATCTCAGTTTGTGCAACCTCCACCTCCCAGGTTCAAGCGATTCTTTTGCCTCAGCCACCTGAGTAGCTGGGATTACAGCCTGCACCACCACACCTGGCTAATTTTTTTTTTTTTTTTTTTGAGACACAGTTTCACTCTATCACCCAGGCTGGACTGCAGTGGCATGATCACAGCTCACTGCAACCTCTGCCTTCTGGGTTCAAGTGATTCTTGTGCCTCAGCCTCCCAAGTAGGTGGGATTAGAGGGGTGTACCACCACGCCTGGTTAATTTTTGTATTTTTGATAGAGACGGGGTTTTACCATGTTGGCCAGGCTGGTCTTGAACTCTGGGTTCAAGAAATCCTCTCACCTTGGCCTCCCAAAGTGCTGGGATTATAGGTGTGAGTCACCACGCATGGCCCTGAACTTTCTCTTTTTACGGATACCAAAGTTTTCAACTTTTTCAGCTTTAGAATTTGTAAATATTTTTGTAGAATATCATATGACTGTAATTCCAGAGTGTTCCAACTTGTTTATGATATATTTGGGTAAATTTACAACTCTTCTTTTATTTGCCATAATCTGGTTATAACACTGTTTGTAGTAGGAAAGGAAAACATGCAACACACACACACACACACACACACACACACGCAGAGTTGTGATTCTCAGTACCAAGCTATAGGACCATGTTATATAGATCAGAGTTTAGTCACCTCCAGTTTATATGCATCAAGAACCTGAATAAATCATGCCACTATATTAATTTATATTTACATGTTTCATATTCAAATCATGTTTTCCTAAAATGTAGCAACTATATGTGGTAAAAGAAAATTAGAATATTCTGTAGGACTGTTTTGCATACCTTCTATCTGGTTTCCACTGATTCCTCCTTAGCCATGGAGTGCATTTGTGATTAATTTGTATATGAAATAGTGGTTTCCATTTATGTGAGTATTTGTAACTGCATATACCAGTGTGTGTGCATCTACCTCTGTCAGCATCAAAGTATTCTAGTCTTTAATTTCAAAAACTTCAAATTAGCCTCATGAGGATAATTTTTCTCTATAAAAAAGTAAGACCAAGAAAAAACAAACTACAGATGTGTGACATTCAATCAAAGTGAAAAGCCACAAGAAAGTGTCGTTGATTAAAAAGAATATCTGGAGTGTAGCCCTACTCTTTGAATGGGATTCATTTCTTACTGCTTATGAACTTTCAATTTAGTAGTCAGAAACCGTGGATTTATTTTACTGTACAATGTGAAGTTTACATTTTATTAACACTTGAGTAGTCTAATTTAGAGACTAGTTCTATTTTTTAAAATAGTGGGGTAGCAAATTACAGAATAGCTAAATAATTTTTTAAAAACATTTTACAGTTGTAAAAAATATGCATCAGAAAAATGACACACAAAACAAAATATCTGGACCTTTACAGAAGATGTTTGCTGACCCCCATTTTAAAGGATTTGAATAGTCTTCTAGAATTGAGGAATATTTATTAAAGTACCTGTAAAGAAAATAGTGAATCACTGTAGCAATAGCTTTGATTCAGATCTTAAAATCGTATAAAAAGAATTACATGTTACAGATTTTTAAATGACAGGTATTGCAAGTTTTTTTTTTTGTGCAAAATACTGAGTAACCACTGGGAAAATATTTCAGATGAAAGGAATGACAAAAGCATGTTGTACTTCGCGTCAGCAAGGCATTGACTTCTGAAAAAATGCTCTGAAAAAAAGGTTTCACCGTTTGTCTTCTTACCTCATTTTAAGAAGCGTGTGGAAATGGGATGCTGTAGAGTAGTGAGAATTTCAGAAATTGAGAACAATTTCGAAATGAAATGCTGTATTTGAATATTTTGCATTTAAAGAGAATACATTTTATATAAACAGGAAAATACATTTGACACTTTATGGAATTAACTTTCATGAGACTTTGTGGGAACAGAAGTTCTTCACCTTATAAAATGTAAAGATTGCTCTTTTTATTAAGTCTTTAACAGGGATGCATTTCATTGTATGTTTTGGGTATGGCTTTGGAATAAATCGTTTTATATCTTATTTGAATATCAGAACCATTGGTAAGGTTTTCTGTGTCTGAATGTTTCTGTGCTTCCTTTTTGGCAATCTGGTAGCTCTTAGATTATAAAAATTAAGTACCTCTCTGGTGAAGAATTCAGTTTGATCAAAAATTATACCTTTTATTTAGCAGTTTATTACATGATGCCTCTATAAATGGTACATTGTATAATCATTACCAAAATGACATGAGAATTATGGTTCCTGTTTTTCATGTGAAGAATGCTTCCCTAAAGATCACAAGCCTTCTGGTTCTACATCCACAGTCTTCCATTTGTTTAGGGAAGTCTTCCATTCCACTTTAGGGAAGTTATGGGACTTCCCTAAAGATCAAAAGCCTTCTGATTCCACGTTCACAGTCTTCCATTCATTTATTTACTTGTTCATTCAATAAATATTGACTGAGCCGCAACTTTGTATCAGTTACTATTCTAAGTTCTGGGAATATAGCAAAGAAACGACTAGATAAAAGTCATTGCCCTCATGGAGCTTACATTCTGGTGGCGACAGACATTAACATAAATAAGATGTACAGTGTGCCAGATTCTGATACATGCTATGGAGAAACCAAAGAGGGATATGGAGTCTGGGGTTCGGTGGAGTCCTGCACACTTAAGTAGGGGGTCAGGGAAGTCTTCATTGACTGAAGACTAGAAGGAGATGAGGGATGGAGTTATGCAGACAACTGGAAAAGGAGCATTCCAGGAAGCTAGAAGAGCACGTGTAAAGGCCCCAAGGCAGGAGCATGCCTGGTATGTTTGAGGAACAGCAAGGAAGCCAGTGTCGCTGGTGTGATCAAGGGCAGAGGAGTAGGAGGCGAAGTCAAGCAATAATGCAACAAGGGTGTAGATGGCACGGTTCTGATGAGATGGAAGCCATTGAAGGGATCTGAGTAAAGGGGTAAAGACCTGCCTTATCTCATAACAGCTGTTATGCTGAGAATATGGTGTGGAGGGATGGCTTAGGAAAACAGACTCTGGGATGGAGATTTGAATGCAGATAGTTTTTTGCGGGGGAAGGTTCTCACAATACCTGTGAGGATGTAAGGGGTCCAGGCTTGGGCAGAGGGAGAAATAGAGGGGCAATGTCAGGTGAGGCCTCAGTGGGGTGCTGTAGAGCTGGTGTGGTCCTTCAGTGAGGTCCCCAGATGAGGCAAGAAATGCACATAACAAGTTCAAATAGGGGCCATCCCAGGGAAGGGTGGGGCCTTAGCAAGGCCACTCCCTTCATTTGAGGGCAAGGCCTGGTGAGGAGCTCAGCTGTGAACCATCAGCGGCCACATTTCAAGCAATCTGGGGACTGAGTGCTCCAGTCTGGAGGGGAGCTCAGCAGGTGAGGTGGTGCCAAGGTGGTGCGTTTAGCTTGTCCTACTCTCCCTCCTGCTTCCTGTCAACTGGAAGTTGCATCTAAAATCTCCTTAAGATTCAGATTTAATGTCTATTTTTAAAGAATACTTACAGTTTGTACTGTGTACTTCACATGGTAGAAGTCTAGGGGAGGGGTCAGCACACTGTACAGGGCTGATAGTGAATATTTTAGGCTTTGTGGGCCACATATGGTCTCTGTTGCGTGTTATTATTTGTTGCCCTCCTCCTGCAGTCTTTTAGAAATGTAAAAACCATTCTTCTAAGATGTTTAAATAGAGGTTAAGGAACTTGGCCAAAGTCACACAGTCAGTAGCAGAAGGATTGGACATAGGGCTTTCTTGGTGAAGGAATTTCGAGTTAGATAGGGATGTTTACATGTAATGTAGGAAGGAAGGAGGTCGAGGAGAAAAGAAAGGGAGGAAGGAAGGAAGGGAGGAAGGGAAGAAGGAAGGGAAAGATAAGGGAGAAATTAGTTGGGGGATATAGAACATGGAGAAAACAGTCCTGTAGTTGGGCCTTTTCTTGCCGCTACAAAATGAATTTTTTGTTTTGTTTCTTAGTTTGTTTTCAGACAGGTCTCCCTCTGTCACCCAGGCCGGAGTGCAGCAGCGCAATCATAGGTCACTCTTGGGCTCAAGTGATCTTCCTGCCTCAGCTTCCTAAGTAGCTGGGACTACAGGCATGCACCACCAGGCCTGGATAATTTTTCATATTTTGTTGAGATGGGATCTCACTATGTTGCCCAGGCTGGTCTCAGACTCTGAGCTTAAGAGATCCTCTGGTCTCAGCCTCCCAAAATGCTTGGATTACAGGTGTGAGCCACCACTCTTGGCCCAAAATAGTTATTTTTTGAAACCTAGTCAGTAGAGAGAAAATATGGAAAATACTTTTTCTAAACTAGGAACATATACACAAATCAACTCAGGTATGATTGCCCTGGAGAAAGCAATTGTTTAAAATAACCTGCTCCCAAGCAAGGGCTGTTGCCAGAATATTTTAATACCTTTGTTCTCTTTCAGCTTACTGGGCCATGTCAAAAGATGTTATAACCGTTCTTGTCAAAACAGAAGTGGGTTAAAGCAGTTTGCTCACATATTCTTTCTCGCTGGCTGTGTGCCCTCGCCTTGGCTGGTAGTGCACAGGACCACAAGGTGGCAGTCAAGCCCTTCCAAATGGCCTCTTGGGTGGTCTGAAGCCCGATGTCTGAATTTCATTGTAGATTCCAGGCACCTGAGTGTTAGGAGTAAGGCCTTTCTTCTGAGTGTGATGGATTTTTGTTATTCCTGATTTGAGGGAATGTGGGAAAATGATCACGGACGGCTTTCAGGTTTAAGTGTGGAATTGCTTAGCTGCCGCCAATAGCTGGATCCTGTATAATATCTCCTGATCATCTTGTGGG